GATGTGGAAATTGGTTTTAATTTTTTTCGTAAGTCACTGTAGAAATAAACAATAATTTACAAAAATAACATATTCATTGAAGCGACTGAATGAGGACGGGCATAAACATAGTAATAAACCCTTGGCTTCTATATTATATTTTAAGACTTTTAGCTTAAAACATGTTTGTTCGTTTTTACAATTTAAGCAGTTATAATTAATTTAAACTTTAAAGTTAATTTAATTTGTTTGTAAGATACATGACATTTATGTGGAATACTATGCTTGCAAATTAAATTTAACGTAGATTTTCTCCAAAAATATATTTTTTTTTAATCGACAATTGATCATTGCTAATAATATGTAAAGCATTATACATACTTTATACAGCGCGATTCACCCAGTATGTTCACTCTTTTTTTTTCCTTAAATAATATTGAAGTTATTAAAAATTATTTTTGGAATTTATAAATATATTTCAAGACAACAGAACCCTCAAAATTATTGATACTTTAAGTGCTACTTATGAAGTGTCAAGTGACGAAACAAATTTCTATTTTTTAAATAATAATTTCCCTTCTACACAATAAATAATTTAGAGGATAATTTTTATGAAAATATTGATGTATCAAAATTAAGATTCTAATGAGTAGTTTTTTAGTTAGAACCTGACCTAATCTAACCCGAGGAAGATTATGGGGGCTATAGTTATATAAAAAACAGTGCCAAGTATAATCAAATTTAAATTTAATATTGCATTTTATATTTTTATAAAAAAAATTTAGTTTTGAATTGAATACATAAATTAAAAAAAAAAATTTACAAAGTAACAGTCAAAATAAAAGGAGAGAGGTTCTCAATAAAAAAAAAAGAAGTTTGTTTTTCCATCGCTGGATCCTCATCGAGGACTGTGTGATACAAAATTTTCTAACATTTGAAAATACAGTCTTAAAGTTTATTTAATAATTAAAAAAATCTGAGTTTGATTAAACTCATCATAAAGAAAAAATGAAGTTGAGTATGTATCACCATGTATTCTATGCGTCAAAAAGAACATTAATACCAAAATAATGCAATCTATTCTATTTAATTTTAATTTTTTTTTAACTTGTTTAGTTCGATGGTTTTAATTTTTTCTATATAAGTATTTACAGTACCTATATTATACATACTATTTTAAATTGTTTATAAAACAATATCACGGTTGCTCGTGACTATTTGTAATCAGCTTAGCATTATGTTTTACGTTTACAGTTTTAGTGGACTTCTTAAATTTAAACGAATATTATTAGACGACTACTTCGCCATTCACATAACTTTCAAATAATATTTAAAAACTAGTAGATAGGTTGTACATAGATACTAATTTACAATAGAAAATCCAATATACTATATAATATTAACTTGTGATATTTATAATGAAGTCAGATTTTTATTCATACTCCGTCATAACACATTAGCTATTCAAACATATTTAAAATCATGCCGAATAGCAGATACTATAAGTAGGTTGTAAGTACATATTATATTACACAATGACGGTACTGAACAACCCATTCTATGCAATACTCCACTACTGGCCTGTCTACCATAAAAACATTTGATATTGGGATAAAATATGCAAGACGAAATAGTCGAGGTAAAAATATCTGCTAGATAAAATATTCGAGGTATTTTAAACAAACGAATAACGCTAAATCCCCCCCCCCCCAAAAAAAAAATGAATATAGAATGTTTAAATAGTACATTTTATTAATAATTGCATTATATTTATTTTTAAGTTATATTGAAAAAAAATTAATCTGTAAATGATTGCCAAATGCTAATTATTATAAATTATAATAAATACTACACCGGATGCATTTGTTTTGTTGAATTTCTCTTCAATACTTAGCTCATCAAAACTTAAAATATATTTAACATAATTGATAATATTAATTCAAACGATTTAAAACTATAAAAATAAAATATTTTTTAAAAGCGTTAATAGTTTTTTAAATTAGCAATTATTGCTCTTCGAAAATAGAATCACCATCTATTAAAGTACATAATAATATGTTGCATAAAATATTTAAGGATACAAGAAAAACTTGAAATTCTTTATTTTGGTGCCAAAAACATACAGCTTTTCTTAAGTGTGATTGTAAATATAATAAGGTAGATTATTTTTCTAATTTTTCAACAAATTATTACTCATAAAAAATAGTTTATATGTAAATGATTTGAATAATTTTAGATGCGGAGTGATAAATATATTGATTTGACAATGTGTGTGTTTTTTAAAATTTTTTTTTTTTTTCATGTCTATACGCACGATAATCAGTCGAAATAATACTTAGATTTTCAACTTTAGTAACTTTTTAGTAGAAAAGTGAGTCACTTCTTTAATTGATGCATTTGAGAATGTAGTTTAAAATTTAAAGTTTAAAATTGCTAGTAGTTATCAAAACCGTCGGGAAAAACAAAAACGCCAATTTTTACGCAAAACCGTTTTTGTTTTTGTATTTACACATTTTATTTGTACACAAAAAATGTCTTTATAATTTACCGAAAAAGATATAATACGCACCTGGCACATATACGTAAACACAAAACACTTTTTATAGACAAAATTGCTTAAAAAAAAAAAGGATAATAGGAACTTAGAAAAATCCAGTAATTTAATTTAAAATAAATATAATTAATTTTCAATATTAATAACTATAAAAAAAGTCATTGATGATTGATAATATGTTGATACACTCTGCGCCCATATTATATTAATTAGGGTCGGGCTTTAATTGAATATTATCTTACTTTTGTAATTTACAACTATTATTATTAATGTAATAAAATAATGAAATTATTAATAACAATTTGTCTGGTTATCTAAATAATTACACGTTCATATTCATATTCGTTATTGATAAACTTTTATTATTTTATTAACTTTATTATAATTACCTCACGCTGAGCCACGTGCATACTCCGGTCTTATTATGATATTAAACACACACAAGGTGGGTAAAATTGTTATTAAGTAAATTGAATATACGAAAATAAGTTACTATTATTAAATAAAACCAATAACCTTTATTTATCAGATGTTTAATCTTATATTTTATTTTATCTTAAATTTATAGTAGTATTGGGAAATTCTTTAATTTGTAAAATAAATATTTAGGACAATAAATTACAAAAATCTTTCAGAGTCAAGAATAATTACATTTATATTGACATACATAAATTATATTTAAGTGAACTACATTTTCAACAGATTTTATATTTATCCAACATATAATTACCTACATGTAATTATAAAAAATATTTTATAGTAAATATACATATATAAAATCAAACCATAATATTTATGTTATGTTATTTGGTTTTGTATGTAATTTATATAAAATAAATTAAAAAACAATAAAACTGACGATAATTTCTATTTTAGATTCTGAGTGGAACGTTTAGTCTATTATTGTTATAATAATGCTTGTTTTTTATGTGTGTCTGTGTACATGTTTTATAATGGTGGAGAAAATGCTTCTATTTTCAACTTGAAGCGTAGTGTCTGGAAGCAAATTAGATCTAGTCGGTACTTTAAAATGTTGAGTACTTTTCTAAAAAAAACTGGTAAAATAAAAATGAATTTTTTGACTGATTAGATTTTACTTTTTTGTTGAGGAATTTCTAACAAATATTAACATTACCATTTAATATACACGACATAATTTATAAGATATTTCAGCTCACTCTGTGCTTACTTAATGATTTGTTACTTATTAAACATTTTTTCTTTTTAAATATGATAAAATCTTTATTTTGAAGTAAAAAATATTTGAACAATTGATACAATATTTCTCAGTTTTTTAAGTCATTCTTACAGAAAAACAAATTTGGGAAATACATAGTCTCAATTTGTATTATTAGCATTCAAATTTATATAAAATTCATCAAAATCATGGAAATTTTAAAATTAATTTTGAGTTGGTATATAGTAATTCATAAACATTTTTATTTTAGTACTCAACTTTTGGAAAATTGGTACAGGATGCTTCATAAGTTGGAATAGTATAATAACAGGAAATTTAATGTGTGAAGTTCAAATATGTATAGTATAAATATTTTTGAATGAACCATTTTTTGTTATTTTGTTAAAATTAAAAAAATATTTATTTTAATAATTTGAAACATTCTACGAATTCCATCGATTCTTTTTTAATCATTAAAAAATATAGGGCCAGTTAAAAAGCTTGAAAATTTAATACAATGTCGTATATAATATGTTGTTCTTATAGCAATGTGAAAATATTAAATATATGTATTGGCACAACATTTTTTTTTATATTTGATAGAATTTCAAATTTTGTCAAAACCAAAGAAATTCACTAATTATTTTATAGTTAAAAATATACTAATATTTAATTTTTATTGCTTGAAAATCGAATACAAGTTTCTCATAAGTAGTTTTTACCAAAACTATAAAAAATATAAAACCATTAATAAATAAAAGTATAGACATTTAAATTTCTCATTGGATATTTATTGATGGTCCGCCTCCTCTCTGAATCGATTTTTTTACTCAACGATGTATCATATTTATCATTGACCATTGTATTCAAATTTAACACACCCATTACAGTGACCCACTTGACGGTATCCACTTGACCGTCTTTGTTATATAATTGAAAGTAGTTTTCAATCTTTAAGTATATTCCCTTTATATTTTATTACAAAAAATATGTCTTCTAACTCTTAAGACACGGATAATGTAAAAGTGTTGATAAATCAAGAAACGTTGAACTTACAACACACTTACATTTTACACTCATACATACAAAAAAAAATTAAATTATTTCTAAATGTTTCTTTTTTTTACCATTTAAAATTGCCTATCAGCTAAAGTGTAGATGGGAATAAATATAATCATTATTTTGTGACCTGCGCATTTTTTTTTCTCTAGATAACAATATGCATATTTTATAAACATCTATCTAAAATTGTATGAATGCAAATATTATTGATCATCTATCAATGCATTTTTAAAAAACCTAATAGGTATATAACGGTGCTAAATTATTCACAGATTATCATTCAGCAGTTGTTTGATGCAAATTGAACAGCTACCAAATAATTATCTCACCATGAAGCTGTTAGCCGTCGTCGTGATTGGATTCGTAGCCTTAGCTGGCTCAGAAGCCCGTAAGTATTGGCATGGATTTAAAATTAGTGAATGAAATTGGTTTCTTTTTATAATATTTGACTTAATGTTAGTAGTTATTTTAAAACTTAATTTATTTTCTATAATATAATATTTTTCAAAACTCAGTTTTGCTAAGAGTTAATACACTTATAACATATAAACCAATAATTAAATTATTAACTTCAGTTAAGCAAATTTATTTTTAAATTTATAAATAGTCGATAGAGTTTAGAACCCATGGTTTAAATAAATGCCCATATGTTATCAAAATTAAATTATTGTTACTGTACTATTCTGATTAATGGCAACAACAATAAGTAAATACAAGAGTAGCATTTAATTTCCTGTTATGTATCATCAATGATCATTTTATTATATTTTGTATTTAATTAATTATTAAGAACCATAATTTGGATTTTAGAGAAAATAGCTCGTTATTTGTTAAATTAATATCAATAAAAATCAAGTTAAAATTAAGTTAATTAACTTTCAAATTTATAGTAAAAATACTTTGACTTAAGTTTTTTAACTCATTTATACCCAGCATTGAATCAAAGTTTAGTAGTTTATATAATTGTAGATTTTTTGTAGTTTTGTGTACATAAATATTTTTTCATACAAAACAATTTTAAGATATTAAAATATTCATGGCGCTATAGTTTTGTACAAACATATTTTATTTTTTCTAAATATTATTTCTATTCGTTCGGTTCTAGATTCTACTCATCATCACCATGATACACAAACTGAAGTAGAACGTAACACTCAATTATATTCAAATGATCGTTACGACCAGTACAATAGCAACTATGGTGCAAATCAATACCAACAACGCAACGAAGAATTGAACCAACATCGCAACAACATCAACCAGGAAAGCTCTAACGAAAGGTTTTTGAACAATCAAAACCAACATAACAATCAAGTCTTGAATGAATTCAGCGAGTCTAACTGGAATGTTCAAACTCCTAGTCGTTCGATTAACAAGAACAGTCAAAACCAACCAATTAAACACAACAGCCAGGAGGTATTCGAAAGCCAGAATCAGTGGAGTAAATCACAATCTTCTACAAATGCCAACCAACAAAGCCAAGAGGAACTTAACCAACATATTAAATTGAACAACAAAAACCACGCAAGTCAGAATTATGGATCTGCAGACTCTTTGGAATCAAACTCCCAAGAAGATTACGTCAAGGACCACCACAAGAACGATATATCCAACGAAATTGGACTTCATGTTGCACAGAAAATGGTTAGATTCTTTACCATCGTGGATCAATACTCTGCCTCCAATGGAACAATGCAAACCAACCAAGCTCCCGAATACCTTTCCTTAAGACAACACTATATGCCGATGGAACATCAACAGTACCTTAACATCAACGAGAGCAATGTATACGGTCTTAAAGTCGGTGTCATCAAGTCCATGTATTTGAACACAGAGAGGAATTGTGTAAGTATAAACTCATTTTTGAACTGAAATTTAATCATATTAATAATAATTTTTTATACATTTGGTTAGGTCGATTTGGAATACTTCTTTCAAAAATTGACGGTGAAATCTAAATTCAACGCCAACGAAGGACTTGAAAAATCTTTCAATTTGAACATGTTGAACACTGACATGACTGTGTCTACCGAATTGGAAAACCGCAACCGCAACTACGCCCATTGCCGAAACGGAAATGTCCAACTTGTGTTGAAAAACAACGAAGACTCATCTGAAAGCCAATCGATCAAGGAGACAATTAAAACCAATTACGTTCAATTATTAAACTCAGAAATTGAAAGTGAAATGATCCGCAACTCTTACAATGGTTTGGTTGGATGTTTAAGATCTGAAATCGAATCTACCTTTGAAATGCCATTGAACAAAAAACTCAATTTAGACATTGAAAACAAAAAATCTCAACTCTCAGTCTCTTTTGTAAGATCCCATTCGTGGAACGATGAACAATCCAGCAATCAATTCATCAAACAGAAGACAGTCCAGTACGTCGCTATCCGTCAAAACAAATCTGGAAACGGTTACAAATTGAAAGTCAAGATTGTGTTGGCTAAACAACCCACATGGGAATCCGATATTGTTGCCCAAAAATTAAACCAAAAAATCAACATCGACAACGTAAAATTCACCGCTCAAAACATTGTTGCTAGTGCCGTCATGCAACTCGTACAACAGAAAAACGGTGCTTACAAATTCAACGTCGAAGAAGCCAACATCAAATTGGAAGGCCTCAGATACGATATTGGAAAATTCGATCTACCAAAAAACACTAACGAAAAATTAGCAAGGGAGATTGGACAAAATCTACAGACGATCATGGAGAACGGCATGAGCGCTGCTCTGCGACAACAGTTGTACCAACAACAACAGATCTGCAAACAACGCCCAACGGACTGCAACAGCTGCAGCCGAAACTAATTCAACCTACTGTAAAAAACACAATTTATTAAGCACATATAGGTATGTGATAAATAATATGTGATTTCATATGCCGTCTATAAATAAAAAATAGCTTTAGAAAATATTATATACTAGTTATAATAAATAGAAACCTTCTTTTGTTCCAAAATAATATTGTTTCATTTTTTAAGTTTTAGTGTATACTCTCAATTGTATTATAAACTTGTGTTTAATGAAATTAACTTATCAGATTTTAGCCCTGATAAATCTATTTAGGCTTTAAACATTCAGTCACTTTACCGTGTTAAAGTTCATTAATCATTGGTAAAATATATTATGTATGTTCATGGCCCATAGACCTGACTAATTTATTTTAATATTTTATGCACTGCATACTCAATAGTAAAAATATACAATGATCGGAAATAACGATATAAAGTATTAGGTAATCACCTATTAAAAATGTTATATTTGTTCAGTGAACAACAATATTATGCATAAATATTTAATAGTAACTATGTAGTTGTGATAAAAGTATAATAATATGCATTTTGTATGTTGTGTGGTGTATATCTAATACACACCAACTATCTTCAATATTAAAATTACAGAATCAAAAACTTTAAATACACCTAAGCACAAGAGTTGATTTTTCAACGCATACAACTGAGTACCTACCTGTATTATACTTTTCTCATTTATCTTTTACAATTTTGACAAAAATTATTTTTTATTATTTGAATTTAACACTAAATTTTTATGTAAAAGTAAATATTTTTAATTTTTTTTGTTGATTAGATAATTATACTATTATAGGTTGTTTTTAGACATTTGTTAAAAATTGTATAATATACCTACTAAGTTTCGATATTTAAAAAAAAGTAAAAAGACTAGAAATCCCTTCTTAAAAAAAATGATAATTATATTGTAAAAATGGCATATAAATGGTACTCATATAAATTCTTCCAAACTGCACAAACAATATTGACTTATTAAAAAAAAAAATATTTAGAAAATGAGTACCTTGTGCATTAAAAAATAACACTTTTTAATTTATGAGTAAGAAATTACTAAATACTTTGACTAATTTGTTTTAAATAAATTACTTTAACACTTACCTTAATGGCTTCAACACATTGGTGATAACTCTAATATAGTATTATATTTCGTCCATATACAATTTTTTGCTGTCCATTTTGTTCAAATCATTAATTTAAAGTTGCAAAGTTTTCATTTTTTAAATTTAAAAACCTTCTTTTCATTCGGTTTTGTTGACCTTATTATAGTTTTCTCACTTTTTGACTGCATTTTTATCGCAACCGAATAGATGACGTTCTATCGTGATTTATACTATACTTCTATAATAATAACCTGTCAATGTCTACTACCTACATGTCTTGCTCGAAACATTTTGAAGTACAAGAATATTATGTAATATCGTTTTGAAAGAGACATTATTAAATTATTAATATTAATATTGTAGTACATACAGTCATATTCATACTTTATAGCACATATTATTAATATTTATAATATCATTATGTTAAAGCATAAGTATGAGCTACTTTGATAATAATAACAATATAGGTACACATTACATTATAAAAATATCGACGTACAGTGCAAACGCCGACGCTTGATTTTAGGTATAAATAAGTAATAACGAACAAACAGAGGGCGTATTATCAATGTAATAATTATTTAAAGACATATGCAACAATTAAAATTACAAATATGTATAATTATAAATTTCATTGTTATATTGTTACTTATCACAATCCATCTTTATATCATACAGAACGGTATATAACATCCGCGATGTGTACAATATATCTGATTAAATAACAGCAACACTTAACAAACTATTATTAACATCAATAATCAACAACGTAAAATATAAAAAAAAAACCAATAAAAAAGCGCAGCTGTTTGTGCAGTCTATTAAACTAACTCGTTCATCTCGTCGTTTTTATTATTCATGAACGATTATATTATAATAATATATTAATTTAATTTAATTTTTAGGCGTACCTAAACATAACAATATACACGGAGTTTTTTCTCCGTTTAGCAAAAACTACATCTGAAGCTTTTTTGATGATATGAGTCTCAATATCCCTAACGTCATTACATATATAACTGTTTATTATTATAATATATATATATATATAGGTATACATACATACATACATACATACATACATATATATATATATATTTGTATATAAAAAATTGTCTACAAAAAACAAACTAGCCAGACCATTTATATAACATTATAAACTATAATATTATTATGTATTTGTCCTTTTTCGACTAATCGGTAAACGGACTAAAACGGTTTCGGTTTTTTCAAAAAAAATTTTCTGGACATTTTTTTCCGCGGCTCACCGACGCTCGCCCAGACCGCGAAACTGCACGAGTGCATTCATGTCATGTTACATATATATATATATATGTGTGTGTGTGTGTGTGTGTGTGTGTGTGTGTTATGCGTATACCTATATATAATATTATTATTGTAGAACTGTTGCTATAGCACCAACCTCCCGCCTCGCCACCAAAACGACCTGCGCACGCTAATAACATAATCGCATTACACGTATTATGTCATCATGCCGTCAGCGGGTTCTCGGTGATTCTGAAAGGCCACGGTGAGCTGCGCACACTGTCTTTGGACGTGGACTGTCTCATGGATTTTGATATCACTGCAAAAAAATGCCACGGCCGTCATTAGAGGCTACACGCGCGGTCGGTCGGCGGGTCGGCCAGATCCGCGGCCCGACCGACCCGCCGACGAGGAAACGACGCGACTAAATTTTTGAAAAAAATTAATTTTTTGGAAATCCACGTGTACGCCGCAGCGCTGACGACGACAACGAGAACAAATAATGATTATGAATTGGAAAAAAAAATCGTCGTAGATAATACACGCGATGATCAATTATCATCGTTTTCAAAATATGTAAAATATTATTGTGATGCATGCGATTGTCACAATATTGTATTGGCACGCAATTATATTGTCGGTGGCGTATATTTACGCGGGCGGTTGATCATCTCGGTCCCGCCCAAATCGAGTGCATGTACAGGGCGATTATTTTCACGACTCGTGTTTCATATTATATTATGACTTGCAGAACAATTAATCTGGACTTATATACGACTCATGACCACCACCCCCGGCCCCACCTCCTCTCACTCTCTCTATCTCTATTTCCCATTCGGAAACCCTATATATACGCCACTGACATATATCATAAGTATTAAACAGATACGATGACACAAAAACTACGTGTTCGAATGGAAGAAAAATAGAATTGTGAAATAAATCTCTTCGACCTGCATGCACAAAATAATTTACAACGAAATAATAATAATATTATTATATCTACATAAACTAATTGAATTAAAACTATACTAAAGCACACTTCTACTTGGTATTTTTTATGAGAAAATTGTCATTCAATAACAAACACCCGGGAGACATTGAAGGGTGTTTATTTATCGATGGCTACAGTATTATTGTGGGAATACAACTATGATGTAGGACTGTAGGAGGTACCTACTACCTACTACCTATAGTCGGTTTAGTAAAGTGCATAATTTTTTTATCACACTAAATTAGCTGACATTGAGTTTGATAATTTTAATTCTATTTGAAAACGCCAAAAATTGTACGAGTATAATAAGTAATTTTAGAAGTGTGTTTTTTTCGATTAAAATTAATTAAATTATATTGAATATAAGTATTCATTAAAATAACTACTTACGTTAAACATTATTGTGTCTTACTACAAACATTTTATTTTTAGTAAGTAAATCATTGGAAAAATGATGTGTTTTTGAAGACCTAGATAATATAAGATATTATTCCAACAAACTTTATTATACAATACAATCGATTAAAATTTTTATTTCAATATTTTAGAATACAAATTATATTTTATATAAATGCAATAGCTGCACTTGGTAAATTATAAATATTGTCTATATATTTTGTACGAATATAATTTAAGTATTGCTCTATTATAGATACCAAAAATGTGTACAGTGTACACAGTTATAATATATTATATACACGTAATTAAATTAAGAAACCATTTAATATATTTTAAATTGTAAAAATATTTACCTTCTAAAAATTACTATATCATTATACTTAATAAAAAATACTGAAACTAAAGAAAATGTTTAAAGTTCAACTTTCGACATTTAAATAAAAAAGTACTCTACCCTATGTCCTATACATCTGTATATAATAATATACTAATATACATAAAAAATATAAGCACATTTAAAATCATCAAACATTATCCATGCAAAATGTCATACCTAAACTATTATGATAAATAGTTATTAACCGGGATGCAAATTTACCGTAAGTACTTAATTTTTTTGTATATAATTTACCCATGATTTTGTAGTATATGCTTGAATAAATTTGTTTTCGTTAATTTTGAAATATCTTCGGAAAATTTTTAATCGAATTCATTGTTTATTACAAACTCGTATCATTTTAGGTGAACCTATACGGCTATACTGAACGTTTTGTCGGGATCATTATTTCTTATCCAAATTACCATTAGCACCTAAGTTTATAATAACATTCTATAAATGCCTTGAATACAATTGGCTTTTTACAAAAACATTTTAATGTTAAATAGCTTATATTTTTATGAGTATAATAAAATTAATAAAACAATGTGAATGTATAAAATATGTTTCACTAATTATTTGTTTAATAATAGGTTCAAAGTAAAATGAACATTTATTTTATTAATATATAATTAATCATTACTACGTATGTTTGTAAAATAACAAGACACTATTAATAAATTAAGCTAAACTATTCAAGCAATATTTTTAAAATTTAATTTTTGTATATAATACATTATTCACCAACGTTCAATAGATAGTTTACTTGGCCTCAGTCTACTCAATTATATAATAATTATGTTTTCGAATGAAAACCATAAATCGTATTTAAAATGTATGGATTATTAAATTCGTTTATTTGTTGTCTATTGATGATGAGTATTAGTAGTATTTTAATATGATTATTATATCTGTTGTTAGTTATAGTGTATTGTAAGTTATAACAGATTATCAGTGCATATTGTAATCAAGGAAGTTTCCATCAAGCAATTCACGGCAGAACAAATTATTGTGATAATACGTATTATAACACACCTGATAGCTAATAATTAATATTTCACATAATAAATGCATAGATATTTAAAAAAACACATAATTAGCTTAAATTAAAAAAATAGGTTTAATATATATGAAAGTATTTATCACATTTCTATAGGTATGATTTCAATAATGCCGAATCTTAAAAAAATTGTAATAAATTGCAGTACAAAATTACATGACTAGAAAATATGTGTTATATAATATATCATTAATATATAGGTAGGTAGGTATTGATTTTTCTCTGTTTCATAATTATATTATTTTATATTCTAAATTTAGTTTTAGATGTAATCCTAGACTTAGTTTTGAAATGGTCAAGTAGGTACCTACTAAATAGACACAATATTAGTAAAAGTCTGAAAGTCCTTAGCTATTTAACAACTAGGGTTAGTATACAGAGAAAATTGTTATAGTTGGTGGAACAAATCTAAACGAAATCATCATATTGCTATATTCAACGATTATAAAGTATAATATTATAATATCAATTTGACTATAGAGACCGTGCTATTTTTATACAGCTAAAAATATAAAATGGTTAATGTAATTTTTGATTTCTCGGGTGTGTTATGCGTTAAACGAGCTTGAACGATTTTCGATCTCACGCAAATGATAAATTTAAACATATTTTACATTTGAGTAAATTTTTTTTTAAGTAGATAAACTTATGTTACGTACAAGTTTTCGCAATTTGATTTACATTGGTTATCATAAATAATTGTTATTCATCGAGGCGTTGCATGAGGGGCGAAATGATAGTGAATTCCGAGCAATCGACATGAACAAATCCCCATAAAAAAACCTTGTTACATATAATACTAAAAGTTAATGGCTAATACCACTCCCCCTCCCAAAAAAAACCCTTGTTTATTAATTATTTGGTTAGGTACGTCAATGTCTGTACAAATTATTTATGATTTTTAACTTGTACAGAGGTACATAAATTAAATCTACATAAGCATGTGATGATAGTAACATTTAACAAAAATATTAGCTATATAAGTACGTGTGTTCGAAAACAAACAGCGTTGAATTTATATAGGTGTGTGAATATAGTATAATATGGGTAAGGCTGGACGTTAAATTAACTTAATTTTTTTCAAATAATAATGTCGTGATAATATAATGAAATTTAGAAGAAAAAAATATGGTTACTTTTTTAAAAATAAGTTTAATTAATTGGATCAATTTTTTAATATCTGTTATTATAGAGCAAACTTTTTCAAAACGGAGGGTATTGGTTAAAAGTATATATATTTTTCAAATTTATTTTTCATCATAACGTAATTGTATTTGTACTCCGAAATTCAAAAAATATCCAAATATAGATAATGTATAAATCATTATTTTATACTACAAAATATTATCTAAAATAGAATACATAAGTTTTGTAGCAATATAACTGAAATTTTAATTTGAATACAAAACAATTTTTATGGCATTTCTGAATGAAAAACTTAAACTTGTCGAAAAAAACTTCAGTCTCATCTTAAACTCTTTAACGCCCAGCCTCCACGATTATAGTTCTGATACACGTTTTGAAAAAAAGTGAGAAAGTTTGTGAATGGTATAGATAGAAAGAGAGAGAGAGAGAGATAGATAAAGAAACAGATAGACAGAGAGCGAGAGAGAGAAGACGAGAGAGTACATTATATTTATATTATAAGATAGAATTTAAGGCGAAGATTATAAGCAAGACATCATTATAAAATATAATTTAACAATATTATGGAAACGTTGAAAAACTGTTTTCTTCCGACAAGCATTTTATATTATGACACTTACGTGTTACAAATTTCGTTTTTCGAAGCTGATATACTTTTAGTCGATCAATTTGCCCGGTAGGTAGGAGGGTGTATTTTGCGGGTGTGTGTTTGTGTGTGTGTGTGTGTGTGTGTGTGTGTGTGTGTGTGTGTGTGTGTGTGTGTGTGTAACGTGTGTTTATGTGTAACGTGTGTGTGTGCGTGCGCTAACTATTCGTGCATCCGTGCGCTAAATGCATTAGCTAGTACATTTTTACCTTCAGCCGATCTGGATACGGTCAACGGTGGCCGGCCGAGTCTCACAGCTGTGGCGACCATCCGTTGACGCCACCACCACCCACCGCACACAACATGTACGGGACAAAAAAAAAAAAACATGAAAATAAATATGTATACATTACGTAGGTACAGTTAATTATTGTTCTACATAATATTATTTGCATACTAATATAATATCGTTTATTTCTATAAATATTACTGCATATGACGCAGTGTAAGGTGTATTATATACTCCTACGCACTGAGGTATAATATATATGTATATGGTACACACGGACACGGCGATTCTTTTAATGGAAGACACATTTTTTTTTCGGAAAATATAAACTGCATACAGTTCGAGGTTCGGACGTCTCATACGTCACCCTCGAGCGTGTCGGCGAAACCACTGAAGTCTAGTGAAATATCTTACCTATATAATATGCAAGTATATAATATACATATTGCCTATCAATTTGAATTATATATTATAGCGCATACCGGAAATACATTTTTAATTTCATAATTTCGTGTAGAAAAAATGTTCTTAAAATATGCCGTGGAAGTGATATCAGAAAATATAACTGACTGATTTTTTATCATTAACATAAGGGTTTGTAATTCAGAAAATTATTCTTCTAAAATTATGAAATCAAAAATATAGGTCATCGTTTAAAAATCAAAATTTGATATTATCGCTGTGGTTCCACCAACAAACACGGGGAAGGAAATAAGGGCAATTATATAATGACTTGACCTCAGAACACGTTAGTGACTGAGGCCAGCCACCGGGCCACACCAGGCCCCCTGTAAATATTTACACACTATATTAGTATTAATATGTCCGATGGTTATAATACATCATAAGTTATTGTCATCATAACTGGGACACACACACACACAAAAAAAAAAACATAGATACACAAACATATTATTTAATAGTATTTATAAAAAAAAAAACAACATCGTGAACAGCATTATTAGTATAATAATATTATAATATAATGGTGCAATAATTAATGATGACTAACTGTGATGCTCTGTATAAGTCACATATACACAACACGTACATCATACGTTAACGGCCATAGGAAGCGTGTGCGTTGGACTATTATTATTGCTTACTCGGCAGGTAGGTATATAGTAGGTATAATCGAGGTACAAGGTAGCCGTCGATCGACTGACAAAATGCGGTATAGTAAACATGGTTTCGCGGTAACTATTATAATTACTATACATCAGGACACAACATTATGGTTGTAGGCTTATTATAATATCGTGTAAATGTGACCGCGCACGTATGTGTGTATCGAATTATTATATGTACACAATATTAACATTGTATCGTTACAATCGAGGCCAGTCTGAGATTTTAGGTCCGAAAAAGATTATTTTGTTCTCCTTTCGACGATTTAATATGATTGCATTATAATACGTTTACATGATTTTTCTTGTTCGCGTGCGCATATAATGGATAGGGAGGTTGTGTAGACAAATGTGGTATAGTGTACAATAAATTATAATACAATATGGTGTCCGAGCATGATACACGTGTCGGGTATATTATATATGTTTATAAATATGTGTACCTATACTACGAGAAAATTGCATCGCGAAATAAGTGCAAAATTAATAGGCTCGTTACAATATACGTCGACCAGCTGCAACAGCAAACGATTCTTGATTTTCATAAACACATCTATAGCTGCACTTTAGACCTGCACGGGCGCACACCATCTCAGGTACGATCCAACACAATTTCGTCTCGTGGGTCACGAAAGGGTAAAAAGGTCGTATTATTATTATCATCGATGTCGATTATTGAAATCAAAAACACAAGACGACGTTAAAAAACCTAAAAACGCATTTCAAATATCGGACACACGTGTAGATCCGATGAAATTATAGTTAGGCGCATATTGCGAAAATACTGTTTCATCAGTGTCAGCAGTTACTGAATTATTGATTTCTTTGAAAAAATACGAGTTTCTTTGCACCCGCCTGAAATAAATTACAATATATTGTGATGTATTATTCCGAGAATATAATATATTTTACCTATGTTGCGGAGGTATTGCGTTTAATAGCAGACTGAAGTCTTAGAAACTGATAATTTTTCTGCCGTTTAATGGGAACATATTGTGTGAATGTAAATTTAATTAGGACGAAAACATTTATTCAGTTGTTATTTATCCATATCTAACTATTTGTCTTAGGCAATTACATTTTTCGAGTTTAAATGGTAGAATAGTGTGTGTGTGTGTGTGTACGATTGGATCCGTGACGAGCATGACGCACATGAATATAATAATATGTGTAGAAACCTGCATACCTAATACATTTGTGTAGACTAAATAGAATTATTGTAAAACATAGAATAAAATACGTAGTTTAACATATTGTATTCATGCTCGTGACACCATACACACTAATACGTGCAAATGTGAAATACGTTATCCGTCTGCAACGGACGACATTCTAAAATTAGCCATTCGCGTTGGCAGCTGATCAATTGTCTATAAATGATGTTAATACAAAGAATAAATATTACGATACAAAACGAAAAATATCAAAAAGCTATGCCTTAAAAGTTGCACAATAACCATTTAATTTAGGGCTGTAGATTAAGAGAATTTTCTTCCGGTTGGGTCAGCGGCACACGAATGAAATTTATCAACACGTGACGATTAACAATGTCCATCTGCTTTTAATTTTGTTCCAATTTTAAGCTTAATATTAAGTTGCACGTTCATATTATAAGTCCAACGGTTTAAATTTAATAAAACTCTTTTTACTATTTTTATGTAAAGTATCAAAATACAATTGGAATATATTTCACAAGAGTCGGTGATAGATTCTAAAATATATAAATGTACAACTCTTGTTTTTGGTTTGATCTTTGTTGTTTTTGTATGATATTATATAAAATAAATGCTTAATCTAAACAAATATACATTCATATTTTCATGGTACTCGACACGTTTTAAATGGTTATTTTTATCTATTCATCTTAGATAATAATATCTTAAAACATATATTTCGTTTGACTATAGTTTAAGAGTAGTGGTATCTCAATCTGCTGGTTTTAGACAAAATCCAGTAATTTAACAGTATCGGTATAATTTAATAATATTCATAAAATCACATTAACCTATTACCGAGCAATGCAAAAACACATCGCATTTTCTAAAATTTCGAACTAAAACAGTGCGCTCACTTTTGTAGACGTATACGTCGTATATGTCAGAATCATAACATTTGAATAGTTATTAATCGTCTTGTCGAGGAAGTTATGTCTTACAGTCTATAATCTATATGCACCAGTCACACAAAATAGCAACACATTAAAGTTTTATCATTTCACTGTATTTCGATTTATTCATTTAATCTACATTTATATGTATTGCTTTTTATTTTTTTAAATATCATTACTTAATCAACCGTATACCTAAATTATAGTATTTAATTCGAACATATTTATTTATTATAATGTCCATTGTCTTATTACAATTTAAAATACAATATAATATCATTAATCTATCCCTTGTGTTATTCCAAGGCATATTGACTTTTGATCGTAACAGAGATTCAAATTTATCTTTAAGTATATAAATATTAAATTATAAATAGCTTTTTTAAAAAACATTTTTCGTGCCATCTTGTCGAATAAGAGAGAGAATAATTATCTTCAATACCTATGTTTATAATAAAACCGTTCGTAAATAATATTTTTTAAAACACAAAAACAAACATATAATGTAACATATTCGTCAAATAAATATTTCTATAGACCATACATGATAACATAATATAATAATCAATAAATGAACAAAATGAAATGTGAAATACTGTAGCAAATGATCACTACTTAGGTTTAAATGTATAATTTATAATGAACAGCGGGTACGCAGTACACATTAGTACCTAAACTGTATATTTTATAAAGGTGACAAATCACGAGCGATTCAGGTCAAATCGGATTTCTAATAGAATTGTTTAGTGACGTTGAGTGCACACCGTATCTAATTTGGTGTGATACACCCGCGGTGCAAATAAAATGTACCTACACGTATTTCGATAACGACTAAATTTATTTTTCACATCATTAGGTTTTTAACCATTTTGCCGATCGTCTATATTTCGTGTGTTGCGATTGATAACTCCGAACCACTCGTAATTATTGCATATTTTACACACTATGTGTAGTGCACACAAATTAAACGCCACAAATGAAATAATACATTATTAATAGTTATACAATTATTATGCGTGTCGTAAGTATTTTTTGCAATATGTACCAATGTTATGGCGATAATAATATCGTATTATAATGTGACAACGATATGATAATTTACGTCACATTATGTCGTTCTAAGGACATAATATTGTTTTATATACGGCGGCGTACACGCGGGATGACTTATCTCAATAAATGTAGGTAATGGATTTAGTTTTAATTTGTTTTTTCGTCATGCCCGGAATGCATAACGTTTTTGTAATGACGGTTCGTCGTGCATGGTTTTATTCGATGAAAAAATTACGCGTACGCCGCCGTTTTACGGACCACACCACAGCAAATAGGCAACTCGTCACTATATATAATAAATGTATTTTAATAATATTGTGTTGTGATTCGCATCGCACACGAAGGTATGAAACGTTTTACTCGACGACCCATTTGACATTATTATTGTTAGTAGAACGGAAACATAAAAAATGCACAGTGTACAACAACAAGAAAATAATCTAACAAGATTTTTATTAATTTCAATACAAATCCGCGAACGCACTAACTTTTTCGTTTGTTGACAAAATTGAATGAGGGGGGCCCAAAAAAAACAACGTATATACGCCTATATAGACACCATTAATAAATTGCCATCATCTATGTATGTATATAATATATATATACATATTGTTAATGTATGTATATATATATATACACATATTGTTAATGTATGTATTAATTATGAAAAAAAAAAAACAAACAGAAAAAACAATAACGACACATTGTGACTAAATAATGATTAATACGTACAAATGTGTGAGTTTAATATTATAAGACTACAAATCTTTTATATAGGTAGTTCTCCGATATTATGATTATACGTAGGTGTATTGTTTTTGTTATTATTAATTGAAAATTTTTTTTTTTTTGCATTTTTCCGTATAAACGTCGAAGCATTAGACAAAAAGGAAAACTTCCGCTTATTTTACTGTGCACGAAGACTGGTTTGGCTTACCGTAACCGAGTCCTTGCAAGAAAAGCCGCAGCGCTTCACACATTTTTTGTGGTACCTCTTCCAGCACCATGCTACAGTCGGATACCTGAATATGAGAAACAAAAAACAACGATGACATTAATACAAGGTAATAATACGGTCGTGGCACAACGGTGGTATTAAACGGTCATCGTGGCGAGACGTCTCTATTTTCAAAATTGGACTTGTTTTTATTTTTCGTTACGTCGAACGGGTCACAATTATTGGTAGTGTCAAACCACGATTTCCCTAAACCATGTTTGCCGTAGATATTTGATGATTGGCGTTTGTGCACCGCGGTCCGAAATCACACTTAAGAACTACTAAATTCCAATTTTGAAACCGTCGCAGGTCTTCGAATTGACGCCTCGTAGGTGCTTATTAATACAATCGCGGGACTGCAGACAAATACGGGTTTGGGAAAGTTATAATATCATAGTATAGAAATGGCGTAGATATAGGTACCACCTACTGATGATATTTAATAACGATTTGCCTCATAATAATAATATCCGCGGTTGTATATTTATTACGCAACGATTGCGCAGTGCGTTATTTTCTTTGATCATATCCGAAATTAAACGGTAAAAAATGTCCACGAGTCGTAGATATTGCACGTATTAGAGATTGGACATTTACGCTGTAAGTACGCCTAAATTACACGTCACGCATACACATAGAAATATATACATAAAACGAGAATGTTTTTGTCGCTTTTGTGTTTCCACACAGTGTTAATTCTACATGTTTTTATGTCAGTTCAACCATAATCATATACCTAGGTTAGTATCTTTTTTCTTATAAATTAAATTTCCATTAACTTTTATTATACGTTTTTTTACCTTTTTAAACATGCATGTGGTATTTTACTTACAAGTGTTAGCACAAGTGTTAAACGTACTAGTTACATCAAAACTCATAAAAAATAAAGGTAAGTACGTTTGAATTTCATAATTGTTTTAACAATTATTGCAATAAGACTCACAGTCCGAGGCGTAAAATGTAATCTTATTAATATATCAATAATATAGAGCCATAGAGTTGGCATTTTTATAGGACAACGAAGTGCATATTGTCCTATAAGGCAAGTAGTATTAATTATAAATACACTTTATTTATATTTAATAGACTATAATGGCCATAAGGTGTGGTTGTAAATTGATAAACATATAACACACTGTTTGAGATAATTCTTTAGTTCACATTTTCACAAATTTTCATTAGGTATTCAAGTAAATCATCAGTTAGATATTTTTAGTCTTGGCCATGCAATCATAAGGTTTTTTTTTCATTTTAAATTTATACATTTATAATAATATTTAATAGAGTCCCTATAATATTCTTCTGGCCGATACAGAATCAACAAAACATCGTTACGATAGATTTGACTAGTATAAATTATTTTTGTCTCTCGAAGTATATTTTGACGTATTGATCACTACTCCACTAGCTGAGCTAGACCTCACATCGTCTACTCGCGTCTATTGTTCCGTACATCACCAGCATCAACCGTTATATCGTTGTCGAGCTTAATAGTCATATAATGTCTACGGTGGCCACTAACGACAAACCCGTTGTTAACCTGGAGTTGACGGAAGCAGAAAATATGCAAATGATATTCGAAGAGTTGAGGTCTGCCAAATTCCACATTCCGGTTACGTTCTCGACACGGGTCGGAACGTGGCCCGCGTTGAGAAGACATTCGTCTGCGCCGAACATGCGAGCCTCCAGGATTCGTCGTCAGCCAGCCGGGGCAGGAGATTTCGAAATCCATCGTCGTTCGTCCACGCCGGTCGCGCTACCCCGCAATCCTCGTGAGCTGCCCGAAGTGCCGGAACAGAACGGGCACCCATCCTGCAGTCCTGCACCGGACCACGAAGTTTCTGTTGCTAAGTACGCGAGACACGAAGCGTCGCTGCAGGAGAACGATGCTGGGAAGTCGACGGACGAGCAGAACGGAAGTGACGCCTCGCCGTGTGCGTCCGTGAAGCCGGCGGCGCCTGAACTCCCGGCAACATCGGCCAAGGTCCGGGAGCTTGCAGGAGACCGTTCAGGGCGGGGTCGATGGTCGTCGGCGCCCAATATAAGTGTAAGTTTCGAACTGACGGACACCCAGAAACCGGCAAATCTCGGTGAATGCAGCGAAACCTGTGGTCAGAAATCGGCCGACGACTCTGTCCGTCCTAAACGGCGTCGCAACATGTGGAGCCGGACAAAGAGATTCGTCCGGCGCATGTTTTGCTGCGCCGTCGTTTAGGATGAACCCCGACGTTTTTGTTGCTGAATGCGGGGCCGTAGCTAGGCACTGGCAAGAAGTCATTTGCCAGGGACGCAAATATGATGATTTACAAAAAAAAATTTATGTATATCAAAATAATTATATTTTCAATAGTTCAGTATTTTTTAGTATTTCACGATTTGTGGTTTTTGAAGGACTTTCCGTGACATCAGCAAGTTTTCTCTTAAGTTGGTTTGAAAACAGTTTATTTTTTAATACATTTTTTGGCAGTTTTTCGTGGTATCGATGGTCAATATCATATTTTAAACTTCTGTTAGACACCGCAGCAGCTCGTTACAGTAATGGGTTCGACGATCGGTTTTCAATTTCAATCGCTGACGCACATTGTCTGTGTATAGGACTAGGAAATTATTGTAGCCCTTAAGTTATTGCCTCATATTGGTGAAGTAACAGAGGGATATATTATACATCACATAGATAATATTTCTAGACTTGCATGATTATAAATTATTCTGTAATATTATAAGAGTTTCATTGCAGAAAACGATTCAGTATACTGTTACCATAATCATCTGAGCAATCATAAGTGCTTCAAGTGTGGTTTTTGCACACATACCCGTACCATACCTGTACTTGAACATTATTCGAAATGCATTTTTATCAATGCACCAACAGGTTTCATAGTGGGAGTACAAAAATATAAAAACGTAAATTATTATAAAGTCACAAGACTTTTTTTTATCAGAGGGGCATTGTGTGATAAGGTCAAGACCTTGACTCAAAAAAAAAAAATACATTTAGAATATTTAATATTTATAATTTATACCAATATGTTTGTTCGGCCATTATTTAATGGATGTAATTATCTGATCTGTTCCAGTGAAAAAACACTCCATCGGCTAGAGCATTATGCAATAAATATTTTCATTAAACTTATTTTTTTTAAATCAGCTATAGTTTCATTCGTTGGCTGTTCAATTGACCACTATGATGTTTGTATCGTATAAGTGTGATTCAATCGCTTAAGTGATTAGGCGATTTTGTTGATTTTGATACAATATTATAATAATGTAATTAGTTACCTGCTAGAGACTAATCGAAATCAGTTTAAAAAAACCATGTGACATAAAGTCATTTTGACACAAAAAAACCAACCGTTTTAATAACAATACGTCAATACTTAACTACGCAGTCGTTATACATGTAATGCAATGCGATTTTTCGTTGTTTTCATATTGTGTCACACGAATAAAGATTGTAATAGAGTCGTCGAATGACTACCTCAGAAGTGCGCGATAAACGTTAAGGTTGTAAAATAAAGCATGTGCACCGGCCTTATTCCAGTTGAATGAATATAAATACGTCGCAAGACAATTACGAGCTATAAATAAATTATGATAATATCATAGTGACCCGTATATTGTTATCTTTCTGATTTGCATGCGCCCAACTAAAATAATAGGTCTCCCATGTAATTGTACACGACCACGTGTATCTAGAATTGGTTTTCTGTATTAAACGTAAGTTTCGTCACACCTCCGTGATTTTGTGATTCCCAAGCGGCTAATGGCGATTAATTAACCAAGACCACAGATATAATGTCCAACATTTCGCGTACGAGGGTGTCTACTCGCGTTATTCGTTTTTAAGCTTTCGGTCGGCGTATAACTCTTTCCGTTATACGTCAAACACTTTTCAGTAGTTTACGCCAGTACAGACGCATATAATTTTTCAAAACGCTATTCCAAATCAGTACGATTGATTGTGCCTTTGCGTTTCATGCGTTGTCGTAAAAATTGAAAAATTATGAAAGTGTTATTTTGTTTATATGTGTTGTGTCAAGTGGTAAACGTGTTGACATCCACGAGTTCGAACAATAAAGGTAACCCCATTGTGGTATTATATTATATTTCTGATTACAATTCACACAAATACATTTTTATCGTACTTATTATAATTTTATATTATAAACATTAGCTGGAAATTGCATACAAAACGCCGAACACGTAGAAACGTCATTCATCAAGGAGCTATGTAAATCAAATCCCGATTTAGAAGAGTTTATGATCGCTGCCGACATTTTGATAAGATCCGATTGTGCTTTGATCGATTCGTGTCGAAGGGTGATCGAGCAACCTCACGATGACGTCGACGAAGTAGACTTCATAGTGGTCGGCGGGGGAGTTGCAGGTAAGTAAATCGTTAAAAAAATACCGGTATAAATATTTAAATTAGGTGGTATGTCTTAAGCGAAACAATAGCAGCTTTATTTTGATACATATCCGACACAATCTGTGTCGTGTTTAATTTGCAGTGACTTTTGACTAAATGTTGTCGTATTATTTCATGACAATAAACATTTAATCCTTTTCTTTTATTCATTAAGACAAAAAACAGTATAATCTACTTAGAATAACAACTGAAAGTTTTAATTTTTAATTCTCATTGAGATATTGTTTGTTAATATTTTGACATTTTTCGAGTAATGAATCTGGCTTTTGATGTAACGTAAAATATAACTATTAATTATAATAGCTGAAAAAATCGAGAAAGGTAAATGTTTTATGCATTCTAACACTATTCTTCCGATCCTATAGGATACTATAGTATTCTAGGTACCTAAACTTTGAATTATAATCTAATAATTATATTATCTATATCATTAACCCTGCAGTATAAATTAATGTACTTAAATACTTCCAGTGAAATATTATCTTTGGTAATTTAATATTAATGTTAAAGGTTACCATTTGAAAATTGATACCGTTTTAATAAATAAAGGATACAGTACGAGTAAAATAATAACTTATAAAAATCCCACAATAGCACGTTTGTTAAAATAAAAACCAATTTTACGACCAAAACCAAAAAAAGCCCTTGGCTGAATAGGTACATTACTTACTAAATATTATTAGCTTGACATATTACAAGTTGTTACCATATTATTATTTACAATTAATATTTTTTTAACTTCATTTTCTCAATAAATGTGAGTTGAATGCAGTTTCATAGAATACCCCTAAGAACTTCCACTTTACTATACCGGCGCATCCTAAACGGGTCTCTTCGAAAAGGGTTTTATGAACAGATAAATTCCCAAATTGCTGAAGTTTATATCAGTATACTTATTTGAGGTCGATTAGCCAGTAATCGGTATACTGTATTTTTAAATTTAAAATTTAAGATTAATTTTTAAAACGGAATACTGAAAATATAGGACATATTGATAATATTGAAAATAAAGAAACATTATTTCTATGCCAAAATTAATTTTATATTATGGGTACTAATACAAAAAGATTGTGCCTAAAAAATTTAGCCAATGTATAGTTTTTTTTTTATTTTTACATTTATGACATTTTTTTTATATTTTTTTAAAGCTGAAATTTAATATTATTTCAATAAAATATATTTTACGAAATATGATTTTTTATATGATTTTTATAATTTACTTAAAGTGTACAGTACTACAGTAGTACCGCCAACACAATTTTTAATCACTTTTCTTTTGAGACTGTCCTAACTCTTATGTCTGTATGAAGTGGGAAGAAATTGGTGTTGTAAAAAACTGTAATTGTTTGGGAATTAATCTTTTTGAAAAACGGGAGCCGAATGAGCTACGTCCTACTTTACACTGTGTCGACTGACTCCAAGCTATTCAGAACAATGAATTTAACATTATTTTATGAGTCGCTGCTGGAAAAGTCGTAAACAAAATCAAAAAAACCATTAAAATGCATAATTATTTGTACATTTTCAGGTCCCGTAGTGGCTGGGAGACTGTCGGAAAACTTTAACTGGACAGTGACCCTCCTAGAATCAGGTCCAGAGCAACCAGCGGCCACAGACATACCTGCTTTGCTTAGTTCGGCAATCGCCACGAAGTACGATTGGCAGTATACTACGACGCCGCAAAAACACGCTTGTTTGGCATACGGAGGGGTGTGCGGTTGGCCCCGAGGAAGATTGTTGGGCGGAACGGCTTCACTGTCAGGTAAATATACTTCAAAGTCCACGATAGCAGTGTCGATAATATGATAGTTTGAGAAACAAAACGTGGCCAACGGTTGAATGTGTGATCTACGCAAATAAATATTGCACGACGTTCACCAACGTGGCTACGATTGCGGATGAGTGATTTCGGTACTTCAGTACCCAGCTAATTTTCATAAAATTTTAACAAATTTTTAAACTAGCAATCTAAACGCGTTTTAATATATTATACCAACATATATAATACGACAGAGTATGCCAATCTATTGGATATATCATCAAATGTAGGAAATTGTTTTAAGTTTTGTGCAGACAATTTAAATGTTTATGTTAATTATTATATATAATATTGTTTTATTGCATTTGCAAAATTTGACATCACTATGCCACAATCATCGGCGTGACTTTCGTGGTTCGAACGTGCAACATATGATTAACAGATTTTTGATTGATATTAAATTCAAAGAAACTTTATTGTTTGTGTGTGTGTGTGTGAGAGAGAGAGAGTAAATTGTATACTTTTACCTAGCTAGCATATCTCGAAATGTGTTTGGATGTTCGAACGTTAAGCTACGAAGAACATAATAAGTAACTTTGTCATCTATTGAATGGTTGTATTTAAAGTAAATTGTAGTTTTTTCTATTACGATGACACTGTAACAATACATAATATTATATTAGGGTTACCACTATCGACAAATTGTAGGCTGGGAGGCCGAAATCAAAAAATGTAGGTCATACGAATTCGCACCGAAAACTTGTACAAAAAAAATACGAAATGCCGATCTAATCATATGACATTCAACCCTGTTTAAGGTTCTATGTACTCGAGAGGGCACCGGGACATCTACGACGGGTGGTTGAGGGATGGCAACGTCGGGTGGGGATACGACGACGTGTTGCCGTTTTTCAAGATGTCTGAGAACAACAAGGACTATAACACGGAAATCCACGGGACTCGGGGCCCGATTCCCGTGCAAAAGCCCACGGAAATTTTGCCGATAACGAGGACGCTGATGGAGGCTGCCCGGGAATTAGGGTACTCGGAGATAGACATGAGCGACCCAAACCCGATGGGTTTCTCGATCGCGCAGCTCATGATCAACAATGCGAAGATCAGGGTGACGACGCCCACGGCATATCTTCGGCCGCACCTGCGCACCCGTGGCCACCTGCGCGTCAAGACCAACTGCCACGTTACCCGGCTGTTGGTGGCCGCGGACCGGCGGTCGGTGCACGGCGTCGAGTACGTGGACAGCTCGAACCGTACCAGGCGCCTGATGGCCAGGAAGGAGGTGATCCTGAGCGCGGGCGTCATCGGGTCTGCGCACATACTCATGCTGTCCGGCATCGGGCCGGCAGAAGACCTGCGACCGCTGGGCATACCAGTGGTGCAGGACCTGCGGGTGGGTCATAATCTGCAGCACCACGTGGCTAGCAAGCTGGGCTTTCAGCTGAACGTGACGCACGACCGGCTGTTGACGTACGAGACGATCGGCCAGTACCTGAAGCAGAGGTCCGGCCCACTGTCCACCACCGGCGGCCTGCAGACGTCCGCGTTCCTGCGGTCCCACCGTGCGGGGCCCAATGACCCGGCTGACGTACAGTTGTTCTTCGACGGCTACTCGCCCAACTGCGCTTACGCCCAACCGGTGTACGGCGGGTGCTCGGCGGCCTCGAGCCCTGTGCGCATGAACATCCGGCCAGTAAACTTGCGGCCACGGAGTCGGGGCACCATCCGGCTGGCGAGCGCCGACCCGTTCGTCCGGCCGCGAATCGATCCCAATTATCTGGCCACAGAGGCGGACGCTGACGTGCTGGTATGGGGCCTGAAGCTGGCCAATGACCTGGTGTACACCAAGGCTCTGCAGCAGCTGGGAGCCACCGTTGACCGGTCACCAGTCGACTACTGCAACCGGCACACGTTCGCCACCGAACCGTACTGGCGGTGCCTGGTCCGGTACCACACGCGAGGCGAGAACCACCACGCGGGCACGTGCAAGATGGGCCCGGCCTCAGACCCGACCGCCGTCGTCGACCCCGAGTTGCGTGTCCACCGCGTTCGCGGCTTGCGCGTGGTCGACTCGTCCGTGTTCCCGACACAGCCCAACTGCAACCCCATAGCGCCAGTCATCATGGTCGCCGAGAAGGCAGCGCATTTCATCAAGAACACGTGGCGCTGACACTAGGCCGTCCCGATCACGTCTGCGATTCGGGTTCTAGACGGCGTACCGGTACGATTCGTGGTGCAGTCGACGGTATCTTGCAGGGGGCGACCGTATGACCATATCGGTACATATTGTAAATTCGAGTATCATAAAATATTTTTTATTCGTTTTAAAATACTTTGTGCACCTACTACAAAGGCCATCATTGACGTACCCATCGGTTCATTCAGTATTCCGTTTTCGTTAGAACATAAAATTACATTTATTTATACATAATATATATAACATCATACATCATAATATTGCAATAATGTATACAACTAGCCTAACCTGTATGTAACTATACAGTACTGTCTCGTTTTTGTATAAGAATTTAAATTGTTATTATTAAGTAAAGCAAGTACTCTCTGTAATCTCTGTAATTAAATGCAAGTTTATTACACTGTTTAAAATAATATTTTACTTAGAAATTATTATAATTCGGACAATAATTTTAATGGCACAGTTTCCATTATGCGAGTCATCTGATCGGATTCACGATTAATCGTCAAAATATCTCTTGTTACTTACTAGCATTTGTGAAGTTCAGCATATTATTAGAGTTCACCTCATTCGATTTGTTTTTGTTGTACAGATGAACTTATAAATATTTATTTTTACGTCATTCAATCACATAGCGTTATTAGCTTTTTTTTTTGTTTTTGATCTGATGAATGCTTTTAAGACAACGGTGCCAAAATTAGAAAAAAAAAACAATAAATAGTTTCAAGTTGTTTTTGCAGTATGATAGTTAACGTCGCGTATTTATCGAGCACAGATGACGAACCACCATTTCGGTGAACTATATTATCGCAGACCATAACGCAGAGTTTATTTTAACATTTTTTCCACCTCAAACGAAATATCTCTGCAGTCATTACTGAGAAGGAAATTTGATAGTTTAAAGTATCGTTGTAATCCCAAAGGGAAGAAAAACAAAATTCTCGTTACTATAAGAACTCGAGTTACAACATTGATACACCAGCATACGCGCCTATGGTTTAATTTATTTCGATGACGATTGAACAACTTCAAAACAATAATAGTACCTATCTTTTGCGGGAAACACCAGAAGGAAGGTTTGGATTTCAAATTGATATGGGTCTTGCGTGAGTATTGGATAACGAGCGTTGTTTTGATAAATAATATATAGGTTGAAATGGGTGTCAAATTATGACACGGGACCGCCGATACCGAGTCGATCTCGAGTTTAGAGATCGCGCAAAGGACATGTCATCTGCCACTGTGCCATGAGCGATCATTTTTCCTGAGAATAAAATATTACGTACTTAGTTTTAAACTATAGCCGAAAATGTGAAATGACAATTATTATCGACAGCGGCAATATTTGTCTTGTGTTCAATATTATATACAACTTAACTAATCATAATTTATTATAAAAAAAATAAACTGTGGAAGCCATGTGTCACAATAATACTATTATTATTAGAAAATGTACTTGATAAAAATAGATTTAAGTGAAATACCTATTATACTATACAAACACAAAAATATTAGATTCTCCAGTGTGTCTCGAAACGTTCTTTATTGAATGTTTTTAATGCGTCATTACAAACAAATATTACCTAGAAATAGATATCTGAATTTTTTTTAAGATTTTTGGTGTTAGAATTCCTGTTTTATTATGTGGCTTAGTTAATTAATCATTTATTGTTTACCATTATAATTATCCAAATGATTCTTAATGTTTGCCCCACCGTGAATCGTCGTTTTAAAACATAAACAGTTTTAAAAGTCAAATTTTTGTTAAATTACACTTTCGAACTCTAGTTTAGAAACAATGTTTTTAACCCAGGCTTATTAATGTGAATGCAAAAATAGGTATTAAGTACAATGAATAAGTTAAAAATCACCGAGCGTAGAAGTTATACAAAAATGTTCAAAAACTGTGAACACACTATTGATCCATAAAAAAATTAATATTGGTTACATTAGTTTTGAAAAATAAGTATTGATATCTGAATGCAAACAATGTCTAGTAAAAATATTGTAAATATTATACAGCATATTAATTTTAAAAGTTTATAACCATAGTACATGATGTAGAACAATATGTTAATACAATTTCAAAAATGGAGTATTTGAATAATTACTTCCATTTTACTTATATTTTATATTTTTTTCGTAAAGGGTTACTGACCTTCCAATTAATTATAACACTGTTATACTGAATTATATAAATACCAAAAAATACCATGCCACAGTATCAAAATTGTCTCAGTAAATTCTCTACATTAAGTTAACTTCATAATATCACATAAAATACGTGTATTATTGCGTGTTGTGGTGTTATTAAGATTGATGTAGAATTAACAATGTGAATTCGATAAAATAAAAAAAATGAACACGGTTTTTTTTTTATTTGGGATGACCTATTTTCTATAATATGTATACTTCAAGTACGTACAACACTCCGGTTGATAATAAGGGTTATTGTCATATTGAGTTATAATGTGAAATTTATAGTATTATTTTCATTATTTTAAAAGCGTTTGAAGTGATCTAAATAAGACTCGTTTCCGTGTCAATCGGTCTTGCTTTTATGTTAACATAATTTGAAGCACGGCATATCATATAGGCAATTTAGGTACATTGCTGCGACATTGCTGCATTTTCGAAAGCATAGGATAATCTCAATGACAGTAAGTTCTTGCCCATTCAAGTACAGACAGGATATTACAAATTATAATTTATACTGGGTGTTAATCTTTTAACTCACATCATCTCTACCTTAATCCTACACATATGATTTAATATCGTATATGAGACTTCCCACGCTTATAAATACATTTTCAGAGTCAATTATTACAATTTTTACCGATACACTCAGAAAGGCGATATTGGTACTTTCTATTAGTTTTTTCAAATCAAACTTAAATGGTTAAAAAATATCTTTTAAAGAAAATTAACTTTGAACTCCGATTATTGTATATGTTAACATTCGATAACTTACTCTTTTCGGTTTTTTATAAACGGATGAAAAATTCCAAAAAATTATCTCTGTATAAAAATCAACTACTCGGTTGTATCGTCGAATGTCTAATCTTCATGCACGTATGAGAGCAAAACGGTAGATTTCAAGTACACGACTTATGTACCAGAAAATAGAAGCTCACACTAATCTAATAAAAAAAATACGAAATATCGATGTTGCGAAACTTGCAACAATACAAACATGATAATCGTTGACGGAGATTTCGTGGATGGACAACCGATCTTACCAACGAATCGTTTATCATTTAAATCAGCGGTTCTCAACCTATGGTACGCGTACCACAGATGGTATGCAAAAGTTTATACTACCTAATGTCTGTCATACAGATTGATGTTATTTATTATATTTTGTGAAAATAGTAAAGTATACTTTTGAATCATCAATCGCATACATTATCGTTGTCATGAATGTATTGAATAGTTCTGATTGTAGTCATTGGTAGTGCACAATCCACGCGATGCACATAACGAGTGGTAGGCGGTAAAAAAAAAAAATGTTTGAAAACCTCCAATTCAAGGATACAATAATTTACGCGCACTGCCTGTACGATACGGCTTAATGGGGAGGGGAGGGGTGGTGCTCACCTTCATCCACGACGACTTGGTCGGATCCAGTCTCGAGTTGAGCGTCACCGTGTCCTCCTGGTGTGGCGACAGAGCTCCGCACACGTTGATGATGGGCATCTGCAACGTGGTGGCCATGCTGAGCCGGCGGCCGGCCGGGCATGACTCGGACGTGGGCGTACTCCTGCTGATGCCCAGGTCCGTCCGTCTCACGTACGAGTCGATGAATGCGGCCAGGTTGCCCGGGTGGACGCTGTGCTCGAAGTACTCGCGGTACACTCTGGCCAGATCGTGGTTCCTCTCTTCGGTTCCCTTCGAAAACGGACGAGCAAAACGTTTAATAACCAAATAAGATATCGTACGAACTGCACAAGATCGTAACAGACAGAATTCGTTTTAAAATATGTATGATAACTTATGCACTTTTTTTTTTTTAATGCGATTGGGTATTAATAAAATATATTGTCGATGCATTAAAATTTTTTTTTTTTTTAAATTAATCGTAACAAAAGTAATCACAAACTTCACTGTCTTTAACGGTTATTTATGTTTTATTATGTTTCTACCCACGTGGTGTTTATAAATAATCATGGTAATATCGAACTTCTGGTATACCAATTGTTCGTGTTTTATATTATTTTATGCCAAAACTTTTTTAGCTCGTCGCATAACAATAATACTACCAAAAGCATGTAGGTGTACGGTTATATGCTGTTGATACTGTAACTGATTATTCAAACCTCAGTACTTAAGCAAATTATGTGATATCGTTTAGCAGAAATATTTTTTTAGAAGGTCTGGCCTATATATTTTTAAAATATTGTATTATTCGCGACTATAATGTATTCTTAATTGCATCTTTTTGCGGATAAGTGCTTTACACTTTTGTCATTACGCGCCCCATATATTATAGCTACACGATGCACATTATATAATGATACTTTATAATGTTTTTCTATAGTACATCATATACCAACAAAACACAATTTGAGGATTTCAATCAAGGAATTATGTGTTACCTATAATAGACAAATATTTTTTGGACATATTCAGAGTCGTACCAATAGTGTCTATAACGAAATTGTTGAAATACAAAACCCTATAATATGCTTGTATTCGTATAATACTGATATTATTGGGAACGTTGCAGTAGCTTTTTTGTAGCGATGTTGATTGGCGAGAGAGGGGGGGGGTAGAAATAGAGAGGCAGAGAAAGAATGGATTGTGGGGAACCCAGGCTTAGGGCCTTCGCAATAATATACAAAATATAGATTATTAATGAGACTCATTAAACTCATCGACAATTGTTATTAATGCAGCGGTTTAAGATTCGTTCAAATGGCGGTCTACGTATATAATATATGTATTATGTATTATACATTTATAACCCACGATTACAAACAAATTATAAGAAGAGGCGATAGTTCCAATGCTACAGCTACAATATGGCACCCGCTTTGCTTTACTAACTTTTCCAAAATGATGCCACATCAAATAGTCCATCACCCCTTGTGTCATGCCTTTGGATTTCAAATATCTGCTGTTCAACTTTTGATAACCGTACTCGATCCAACCGGCCGGCGTTGACACCACGTTGATCAGACACAGCGCTTCGACCTGCAATACATGGCCCGTAAATTATTTGAGTAAATGAACACCGTTTGAGACAGTAAACCACATTAATGCGTTAACATAATATTATGATAATATTATGATATGCGTTAATCAATATTATAAATGGAAAAGGTGACAGCATCACAATGCATATTTATATTACCTTTGTTGGCTGTCTGTAAGCGAACCGCGCTAAAATATTCCCACCAGCTCCCACTCCAAGTCCAACGATCGATTGCAAACCAAAGTATCTTAAAACGTGATCTAACTGATTCGCTAACTCGTCTGTACTAGGAAAAACGTAACTGCAAAAAAAAACCAAAAACAAATTATTAATACATTTCTGAGCATAATTAAAGTGTCAATTTATTCACAAATTGTCAATTCATTTCTACACGGGCTAATAGAAAATTAATTTAATAACTTTAATCACAGTCAAAAAAACACATTTAGAAGAAAATGTATATTTTATATGTTTTAAAATTATAACTCAATTTGCAAGTGAGAATGAGATCAGAATAACTTAAACATAAGATTGCTTAAAACTAACGATAATCATAGCAATATAAAGTGAAAAAAATTATTTTTCTGGAACTTAAATCCAATGTTATACTATTTAAGATACACAAGCAATTTATTTTTCGCATTTCCATTGCGTGTTTTTTATTGTTTATCATAGTTGTAGAGAATCGACAAAATCAGTGTTAGTAGTTAATACCTATTATATTTCACACGAATACCGCACAATCATTTAGTTATTGGGTAGCACATTTACAATCTTAAATAAAAATAGTTCAAAATTAATGTAGATTGCAACAAAAATACAATAAATATATTTTTATCAAACAGTGTACTGTGAGAAAAAAATAACTGAAATTATATGATATTGAGTGTTATTGTAACCTGTAGTCAAAATATAGTGTTAAACGTTCTAATTATAAAATCGATCGGTATGAGTGTATTTGAAATGGTAGAATAAATCATTAGACATATAAGCAAATAACCTATAACCTATTACAGGCTACAATCTATAGTTATTACTTTATTATGTGTATCATTTAAAAACTACTAAAAGTTGGAATGTCTGATAATAATACATTGGTATATAAACTAATTAAAAGCTCATAAAATGAATTATAGTAATAAATTAGTCAATTATTCATTACTATTATAAAACAATTTGTTTTTATATAATATATGGCAAGTTAAATAATAACTTTACAAAATAAAATAATCATTAGCAGTGGATACTCGGATTCCCTGACTGGGCGAAAAGACCTAATTAATACTAAATTAATAATTACTCAAAATCGAATCGTTTCCATTGTTATACAATATAAAACAATGGATAATTTCATAAAAGCAATGACAAAATTATGTAAAAATTATGTAAAAATTATGAATGAAAAAAAATATATGGAAATAAGATAGTTGGGCGTAAACAGCTGCATAGCACAGATGTAGAGATATATTTAAATTTAAAAAAAATTAATTAAATTAAAAGTAATTTTGAGCTGATCTTGATTAACTATAAAAACAGGTCATATAATTTTGAAGTAAAGCCGCTTGTACCAGCTTTAATAAATATATACATAGTCAAGAATAAATAAATAGGTACATATCATATACATGTATTGGACATTTGAACATATTACCAAACTAATATTCATACAATAATCAACAATAAAAAATAAATATAAATCTTAATTATTAGGTATTTATTGATATTTCATGTTTATTAAAATCTTAACTATCTAATTAAAAAATGAAAACAATAATTATTAAACAACCAGTTTATTATGTTATTTTAACAATATATGTATACTTATATATAAATATAAATTCTTAAAAATGTTTCATGAAATTCGAGCTTATAAGTATAAGCTTTGAGTATATTTAAGACTAGGTATCGATAAAGTTAATTCGACTGAGCTATTTTTGTTTACAAATTATTTCATGTTTCAAAATTGGACAATAAGTTACAGCACACACGATATATACATTATTTTCCCCTTTCATAGGTAGGTATAGGTATTTTCTAGTCACCTATTATTCAAAAATGATTATCCAATTCGAACGATTCTGAGAAATATCGAACTAAATGTTTAGTCTTAGATATTTTGAAAATTGTATTTTAAACATTAAAAAACTGGTACAGCATTTGGTTTGAGGCTGAACTCTGACATTTTTTTAAATCTGATATAAAATTCAATTGAAAATGAATAAAATAATGATTAGGAAGATTCTCTGAAATAAGTTTTTCGTACGTTTTTTGGTTGTTATCTAAAAATTGTATTTGGGATCAACATCATATGCCAGCATCTAATTAATATTTTTAACACAATCGCTATGTATATATATTTTATCCCATCATGATCTATACTACGAATCATATATATTTAAACTTGTTTATTAAAGTCTTACAGATCTGTTTACAATCTATCTATTAATAATATAATCTATAATAATTATGAAAAAAAAAATATTTGCATGATTGTGTACAATTAGTTTTTATGTCCGATATTTAATTTATAGCACACGTAGCCAATATTAATTATATTGCAATTTAAAAATAATATAGGTGATAAAAAAAAATTATACATAAAAGCCAGTGTTGAAGTGGAAATCAACATTACAGTTGTTCCGCACAAGTGAGAAAATGAAGTTTGCGATCGTTTTGACCGCTGTTTTGGCTTTGGCCACAGCCGCCACACTGCCGTGTACGTACATTATTATTATTATTATTATTATTATTACTGTTTTCGTCGGTATAATTAATATTACTATACTGTATCATTTTTTTTTTTTTTTGTCTAACGATTGTAACAATAAACAGCTATTATTTTTCAGCTCAAAAATCGGACAGGCAAAACGAATTGATCGACTCGGAAGAAAACTACAATAACAATGAATACACCCAAGAAAAGGAAGAACGCGATTCCATCTCAAACTCTTTCGACGTCATCGTGAACGTCATAAAACAATACAAAAATGACGTGACCAAAACCGATAACTCTAGATTTAACGAAATTTCCATTCCAGACACAGTAAACATCGGTGTCAACGCCGACACATTCTTGACCAACGTCCGCGTCAACGGATTAAATAATTTGGATAGCCAAAACATCACATTGAAGTGGGGACAAGATTTGGTAAGCGTTTTCATAAAAATATGTACAGCAGTACCTTCTCAATGTATTGGTTAGAGTGTTAATTGATACTATTTACTGGTTAAGTAATTTTCAAATCGGTTTTTTTGTATAAAATAATAATTACAATTTTTACACCTCAGATCCACGAACCATGTAAATTATAAATTAAATAATTTCAAACCTATTTAACTTCTTACACTAATCTATATAGTCAAATTTAATGTTTTTAAAAAATTAAAAAAATAATACAATTTTTAACTGTTTAAAATAGATATCTATTAGTAATATAATCTTTCAAAAAATCTAATATTTTATGATAGTGGTTTTTCAAATTAAAATTTATAACAGTAATAAAAAAAATTATTTTACACATTTTGATGCATAAATATCAAATAGTATTTAAGTACTCATTTGACTATGGTATAAAAAATATAAAGTTTCTCTTTAGTACCAATGATAAATTACTGAGCTATTCCAATAAAAAATTGCAAAATATGTAGGTAGTATTTAAATAAATCTAACTTAAAGAAATGTGCATAAAAGTAACAATTTTATAAGTAAAAATATAAAAATAGGGTTTATGTGAATGCGGTCTTTTAAATTAACTATTAAACGACATGCTTTTAAAGTTTTAAACATAAATGCACAATCGTTTTAACGAATTGAAACACACTGAGCTCTGTAATTTCCATGTGTTATTTCTATAGCCAAATCATATTATTTTGTTTCATTTTCACAGATCCAAGTCACCAACGGCTGGGAAAAACTCGCAGTCAATGGAATGTTCCATCACACAAACACCGTAGCCAGACATAGTGGTATGTTCCATTTAGACATTATTGAACCTAAGTACAAGGGTGAAACTGTGCTCACAAAAAACTCAAACATCTACCCGTTGATGTCGACCGTCGGTTCTGTCAAGTTCGAAAAGTTCACCGTCAACCACACCTCGTTGCCGGAAGTGTTCCAAAACGATAAACCTCAATTCGAGTGAGTAGTGTGATCAAAGCAAATTGCAATTCACAGAGATATAGTATAATTTTAGAGGGGAAGCTTTATTTTTTTTAATGTAAACTTGCATTAAAATAGGCATCGAGTTCGCATGCCCAAACCCCCGTTCCTCCTTTCATATAAATGTTTTGAATATCTGGCGATAAACAATACTAAATATATTAAACGTATAAAAAGTCACTAGCAACAGGACAGAATACTTCGCTATAATAGCAAATAATCAAAAATCTGTTTATAAACATGTACGATTTAAATATAATGGGTACTTATAATAAAATTGAATTTTATTTACGAGATGAGACGGGCAAAAACAAAGATTACAACTATTTTTTTCAAAATAAAAACCACTTTAGTGTCTTAAAATACTTCATCCAAAATTGTTGCATCATGCTATAAAATAATAAAAATACTAATCAAAAGTAAAAATGTGAAAATTGTTGAGGAGAAGAAACGCCCTTAAGACACGGCCTATGCTTACAGTGCTATTAACCAACAGTCGAAATAAAGTTTTAAACCTAAATAATTTTTCGTTTTTCCCTTTAGTTACTTCGTCAAACACACCATATCCCAATACTTAGCCACCGCTAGAGTCAACGACATGTACAACGACGTCGCTCTGCAAATCAGACGGGTCGTCAAGCCTTACATGGTGTACAGGAGCAACAAAATCGCCAGCGAAACAGCGTTACCGAGCACAGGTAATCTGGCCGACGGATTCCGTTTCGAGTTGAAAAACCTCGATTTCGACAACTCCAAGAACAACTTGGCCAAGATTCCGTTCGTGCAAGTGATCAAGACCAACAACAGCTGCTTCGCCAAACTCGAACTCCGCCTGTTGGGCCTGACCGGAGAGTTCGACATCGTCGTGACGTCGCCCAATGGCAAGAGTGACAACCGTAGGGCCACGTACACCGCCGAAGCCGTCATGGTGGCTAGCAACTTGGACTTGGTCGAAAACACTGTCCGCACCGCTGTCCACGTCACAAAACCCCAGATCCAATTCAAGTCGACCGACTCCGATTCCGCTGTCAACTGGTCCGACGTCCAAAAACAGTTGGTCCCCCACTTCGACGCTTACTTCGTGAGCACCCTCGAGAATGCCATCAACCGTAACATTCAACAGTCCGTGATGTAATATCAATTACGAACACACTCTCGAGTGGACTTATACATTTTTTTCAATAGAAAATAAACCAACAACATTAATTCATAACTGTTAATGTATTAAAAATTAAAATGTATGTAATACGATAATAAAACAATGTTTTCCATTCATATATTATTATTGTGTGATTTCTCGAAACCAGACGAGTCGAAGTCGTATAATATGTACAGCTACGTTCGTTTGGATGACATAGCAATATTATTATGCATGCAAAAATGTAGAAACGATATGCAAATGTCGTTGAAATCGGAAAGTTTAACAATTTTCATTTGATTCATTTTATTCGTTAGTTTCACGTATGGTTCGTTATAATAAGTGTTGTTTGAATTTTTAATCTTAAACATTAGTTTAAAGAAAAATTATTAAAAAGTTCCATGATAAAGCAGTGCCAATTGTTTTCCAATTGAAAGTTAACATTTTAAAAATTAAATGACCTACTTATTAGATTTAGTTGATTATTTCATTTATATTTAAGTTCATCATTTCTATTATTACGGCTGATTTAAATGAATGCATAATGCTCTTTAAATACATAGTAGTTTATTTAATACACGAATGATAACTCATATACTTTTGAGTTCAATTTGAATCTCAATATTAAAAATATTACAACTTATTTCAATAGAAAAAAAAACTTAACTGTTATCTGCGAGTAATGGTGAGTTATACTATTTTAGTGTACAATATGTACAATAAACTATCCTATACTATATATAACTAAATTAATGGAATGCTCTATAAATATATACCATGTGTAAACATACATTATATTGATACATTAAGATATTTTAGTCTACATAAACTGAAATGTTTAATTCAAAAATTGTTATACGTTGTATATTAATCTTAAATAGAATTTATATCACGAATAAAATCACAAATCAAGACATTAGAAATTAAAAGTACAAATTACATACAATTTATAAGATTGCTCAAATATGTGAGTAGGTTTATGAGATTGAAAATTTTAAACAGCAACTACTCCCGCATTTTATTGAAGAGTACTTGGGGAAAAAATAGGGACACAGCGGAACGGATTTTGACATTACTGGGCTCACCCCTGCATAAGACCATCAGTAAATACTGTTGTGTTGTTTCTATCATTTAAAAATTAATAATAAATCGTGATAGTATAATATGATATTATGGTGAAAGATGATTTTAAGGTTTTAAAGCACTGAAATTAAGTGAATTAAAGTGAATTAAGCGAAACAGATTTAGTGAAAACGGTCATTTCTTGGTTATAACTTATAACCTAGTTCTAACTAATTAGATTAAAAACTAGGTTATAACCTAATGTGCTCGATTATAGCCTAGTTGGCTTAAAGCTCACAATTTGTCACAGTTAAAATGGATATTACTATCTTTAGAAGACCAAAAAGCTGCAGAAGTCTAAAATATAATTAAATCTTGAAAGATAAATTAATTTATATTGCGATTTGTGATTGCATACTTATATTATGTATTTAAATTCCATATTATTAAATAATCGATTATCGTTGTATTTTAAAAATATTTCATAAATGTAAAATTTAATAGATAGGTGCGTGTAATAATTATTACCATACATATTATTTTCTTTTTTCTTTATACATCTGAATAATACAGATTAAATCCCATTTCATTATTACATTTTAACGTAACAATATTCGAATCCGAAATATAGGTTTTATACTTTCATATATCATCGAAACTTTCGATCCGAAATCTACTTTTTTTTATTACTGTTCGATGCCCTAAATCGTTAACAAAAGACTCATTGTGATAGACTGAAGTAGATGCGTTGACTACGTGCTTCGGTCCTTTTTTTCCCCGTTAAAATAGATTGATATAGAGTGATATATTTCAACGGATTACACACAGCTTGCAGTTTTATCTACACAAAGGTCATTGTTACCCACCTTCCTCTCACTCTTAGTTTTTCTCGTATATATTGCTACATCGAGAATTGTATTTACTATTTAATCAAAAAAAAAAAAAAAAACATTAATCGTATACATTCCGCGAATTATTTTGAACAACGGGTGTTAAGTTAAAAAGCTATTCACCATGTACCTAATATTTATTACGAAGCGACGCACTACAAGCATATAAGAACCTACCTAATGGTGATGTTAAATCGTGGTACTATTGAAACGTTATTCCTACATTTGATCAAAACATTTAAAATCGATACTTTAAAAATAAATGTTCAGATACTAAATTATTCAATATTTTTCAGTTGCATGCCTAAAATAATAAAACATGTTAAAAACGATACTCGGGCAAAATATTTCCAATGAAAATCAATATAAATAAATATACGTCGTGCCACGCATAGTGATATAAGTAGTTTTTTGTTAATTTAAAAGTCAGAAAAATTATTAATTCATTATTTAAAGTTTAAACCAACACTGGTCAGTGAATTTAATTTTAAAACTTATTTATGTAATCATAAAAGTATTTACCATACAACAATCTAACTATTCAATAATATCAATACATATTTTTAATATTTTATAATTTAAAATCAAGTCAATCAAATAGTCTCCTGCGCCATGTCAGTTGCCCAAGTAACGATACATAATAAAAATGAATAACTTAACATCTCATAAAATATATTAAGAGTTTTATAATACAAGATTGCACATACAGTGTGACATACATAATTTATTTATTATAAATTATTTTGTTTGTACACAAATCTCAATTAAAATTAATGATTGAATTTATGCAATGTTGTGAATTGCATTGATTAATTTTCTAACCACCCTCACTTATACGCTGATCATATTTAACTCGGAAAATATAATAAACGTAATGTATTTATACTATATATTTTTTCTATATCAAATAGTTTGTACTAATTTAAAAAAAAACGAATTCAGTAAAAACAAATGTAAAGAAAATACCTACCCTAAAAATAAATGTTAATAGCTGCTTACAAAAGAACAAACCATAAAACAAATACGTTTAATTTTGTATTACATTCTGTTGAATTGCGTTAATTTCGTTTTTTAAATTTATTTTAAGACTATAATACCTATATATTATATGCATTGTGTATGTAATACATTAATATTATTTTAAAGGCTATAATTAAAGGTTTTTTTTAAATAACAAAAAATAAATTCAGGGTGCGCCAATATGAGTTTTATCGGTGTCCTGCTTTAATGCTTTACAACAAGAATAAACGGTTACCTGTACTGTACAACTTTTCATTTCTTGTTGTTCCTAATTACTTTTTCTAAATCTTAGAATCAAAGGAAGTCAAGAAAATAAATCAACTGTTAATCGATTTAAAAATTAAAAAATGTATTACTATACTGGTACAATCGGCGAGGAAATCATCTGATAATATAATAATATTCATAATATTGTAATTAGTACCTATCATAATATTTTAAAATACTTTTTTTTACAATTCTTATTCTCATCGTTTTATAAATAAACATAATTTGAAAAATGCATACTTGTAACTACCTATTAAATAGATTGATTAGTTATTTATAAGTTGGTTATCTGTTAAAGTTTATTTTTCATCGGTAAATAATATTTCGTGTTTTTACTATAGTGAATGTTTCAAATTTAAAGTCAATTCAAATTAATCTAGAAAATCTAGAAAATTCTGCAATTAGGGTTCTCTAGGTTCCTATATAATTACCTACACCGGCACGTGTTTTACATAAAAAATATATGATAAAAACAAGTAACAACTTTGACCTAATGGCTTCTATTAATAATATACCACACGAGCGTGTATTATTTTGTAACAAATATGTTTTTATATCAATACAAAATAATTTTGATGATTGCTATTTGCTAATGATACGTTTCATATATTTTATTTTATTTTCATAAAATCATATTTAACTATTATATGATAAGTACCTCGAATGTCACATACCTTAAATTATCTAACTACAAGTAAATTATTCAAAATTAAGGTACTTATAGTTTATATACAATCAACAAATGAGAATAATAATTGTAATTACATTATAAGCAAATACATCGATAATAGCAACGATAAATAATATATAAAACTGTCAGAGTTTAGTGGCTAGTTTATATTGAAAAGTGTCGACACATTGCAGATGTAATTACACACATTTAAGAAACTATCAACCTGAATTAATAAAAGAGTAATATAATAACTGATATTACTACATCATTAACATTTAGCAGTGTATAGCACATTGAAGCCATGGCTATGAGCTACACTAAGATGTAATAGGAAAATTCGTACGAGTATAAAAATTACAGAAACAATTAGTTTTCTGAAATGTCACTACACGACAAAATGTCAACGCTTCATACTCATAATAATGCAGAACGATAATAAATAATATTACATGAAAATTATTGTTATTGACATTTTATGTGACGAATCATGAGGTTTTTACTATTAAAGTATATTTTAATTTAAAAGCACAATTTATCGTTGTGATTTTAAAAATTAACACAACCTTTAATGTTAATTTTTATTAAAATTTTAAAGTGACCGCTCACCAATCGATTAGGAATTGTATCTAATTGCTATTTTAAAGAATTGTATTATGAAGTATTATAAGTTCTATTCTTAATTGTAAATACTAAATAGTCTTACGTACAAATTCACAAAAAATCGCTACGTTTACGATATCCAAGTTTTTATAAAAAAAATTGGCTTTTGATCCAAAAAATAATTATACGCTTGAACTTGTCATGGGTGGTTGGATTATTATTCGAAAGTCACATCATTTTCAAACTAATTGTATTGTGAATTAACATTTTTTTTATTCGAAGTACTTCTCAATTTTATTGATTAAAATTGTAAATCTGTATAATTTATAATCTATACTGCAATATACCATTTCAAGTTATTTTTACATACAGTCTGTGGTCTGTTCTAGGGAATGAATTCAGCAGTTTTGTATCGAAAACTTATCATGTATTTTTTTTCTGAAACGCTCTTCCGTGATTATATTATACATAATACCTTTGTATTAATTAAAACTTACAAAAACTATTGATTATGAGTAAGTTGAATATGTATTTCGTGTTGTAAACAATGTTTAAAGGTCATAAAATACAACTCTATACAACTAACCGCAATATCGACAGAAATCTAATATTGTTCCAAATCACTTATTCGACATTTTATACGGTTAAATACGTCGGGATGAAGACTTCACAAGCAGTTCAGTAGAGATCCCGGCAGCAAAATGAAGTTCTTTATTTCCCTGTTCGTGTTCGCTGTTTCAGTAGCAGCAATCAACGCTATTTGCTTGCACTGCAGTAACCACACTGGCAATTACCAAGGTATTTTATACAGTTTAATTAATATTTTTTAATAAATTAAATCAATGCATTATTTATCATTTGTATTTTTAAATTTGAGAAATTAATTTGAGACCAAAATTTCACAAACTTATTATTTTCTGATTTCTTTTCATTTAAGGAAATCATATAATATTCTACAATAAACTTTTTATGCAATTTTTTCAAAGTAACAATGTACTATTACCTACTCTTGATTATACAATTTCATAACATGTTTATATTCTAGAAATCAAATACGAAGATCTGAAAACTTTAGAAAATCAAGAAGATCAAAATAACAACGAATCCATTGATGTTGCCCAACAAATCAGAATTATTCTGAAAGCTAGTCAAAAGTATCAATTATACGTTGAACAAGCCAAAAGGAACCTCAAATTCTCAGACCCAATGAGCTTGATCGATGCTACTGAGTTCTTGAACAACGGCGAAATCGAATATAGAAACACCAAAATTCAAGGTTTGGGAAATGCAATTTTGAATGAAGTCAACGTGGACAAAATCGGAGAAAACATGGTAAAATATATAAATCATACTAAAAATATAAATAAAACAGAGTTTGTACACAGGTAAAGAGTTGGCTAAACAGTGTAATGGTTATTTTATAGTTTTCGGTCACCGCTGTCTTGAAGAAAGCCATTGTTGTCGGCGATTACAAGGCTGCCACTTCTAAAAATACTGAGTCCGGACAGTTCATCATCACATTGAGAGATATCGAATTCAAAGCGAAGTTCCTTCTGAACGAATTCATGGAAACTCGGCCAGAAATCGACTCCAAGTCATTGATGTTCGGTCACCACGAGTCAACATTCACCAACATGGAAGTGTTGAACGAGTTGAGCGAAAACACCCAATTCAAAAAGCCGTATGTCTACTACTACAACTACCTCAACAAAGTGATCAAAGGCCGTCTCGCAGAAGAGATGACTGTCAGTTTCGCTCCCCTAATTGCAATGCGTCTCTCACAAGAGCTGAAACCTACTGTCTTATTCCCAACCCAATCCATGGCTGTCCCAAAAACCAACGCTTACATTGCTCCAGGAGTACAAGTAATATAACACTAATCACTAATATATAATAGTAATTAATAAAATATAAGTACCTATACGATATCCATCATTGAAATTACCTACAGATCAGTGTTAGAAAAATTGCAACTAGTATAGGCAAATGTTGTGGTTCAACAAATTAATTTGTTTAACAGGCATTATAAGTAGCTTAGGTATATCAAAACAATTAATGTCCATACAGTATTATAATTTATTGAAATACTTCCATATATTTTGCACCTTTTTAAAAATAGTATTTTATTTGAGAATCCAATTACCTAAAAACCTTGCGGAATAAATATGTGAGTATAGGTACTACTGCAAATTTAAAATTCAGGGCTCCGGGGCCCTTATTCCACAGCCCCTACCACTTGCACTTCATTTCCTTGCATGTTCATTATTATAAGTAATATTCGCTATTTTGGAAGAAAATCTAATATAATCGTTACAGGCCAAGATTTACAACACTATGTTAAACGACTTGAGCGGCACTAACAAAATCCAAAAGCTGGTCAACTACACCGTCAACAATGATCAAACTGAAATGCTCTTCTGTTTCACATCGTTTGACCTGAGGGGCAACAACGAATGGGCTTTGGAATACAACACCGGAAACATGTACAATGGCAAGGCTTCGTTTGCCATAGAAAACCTTCAAACCATGATCGTAGTCACTAAACCTAACGGACAAGGGGAGATTACCAAGAAATTCTCAAAGACCACCGTCAATGGGCTCACAGTGATGTTGAATAACGATAACAACTGCGAAACCATCAGGAATTTCGCCCATCAGCGTATCCCGAAAGTCTTGGAAAACAGCTTGCAGACATTCATCGACGAGCATACCGAGATGATATTGAATAACCAATTCGCCCTTATTGGTTTGAAATATAAAAACTGACTTAATGTTATCTTAAATTCATAGTATATTGTGTTGTAAGACACAACAGAATAAATGAAAATCGAACAATAAAAATCAAACTTTAAAAATACAAAATTGAAATTGTTCTTAAATAATATAATATTATTATACGTATGTGTGTACCTAAAGTATATTGATCAAAACTCGCTTTAGAGTATTATTAAGTTATATTAAGTACATACATCATTTTTTATGATAAATATTTGTATTCATTTTAAACTATTCAATTTTCAACAGATAATTATGAGTTGTAATACTACTTTATCCTTATTTCCCATAAAATTGCCATTTGTTGTTAATTTATAATAATTAATAATAGATTTATCAACATATAGACGTACTAGAATTAATTTAAAATCATATGTAGATTATAGGTAGGTACATATTACTCATTGAATTTGTGTTTGGATTTGAAGAGCGATTAAGCCACTCAAATATTTAAATATTAATAATAATAATTTATATCAGTGACGTTAGGTACTCATTCATGAATTAAACAAGATTTAACTTACCTACGTTAGACTATTAGGGGGGGGGGGGTGAAGAATGAATTTTTTATTAATATTTAATTCAAATTTAATTAATTAAATTTTCAATACGTTATTAAAAATATTTTGCGTTATTCGCCTACGTCCATCGGTTAACATTTCATTTTCTCGTAAATACTAAAAACATTTTATAAAGTTTAAAATTATTACGTTCAATTCAATTTTTTTGAACATATGTTATGTAGATAACGTAAAAAAATCCATACCTACAATTAAATTAAACTAAATTAAATTCAATGATATGAAATAATTTCATATAAAGATTTTATAACCATAAAAGCATCTCGTCTGCATGTTCATAATTTTTTGTAAAAATTAAAAATCTTTCTCATTAAATTAGTTTATTTTCAAGGCATTTAATAAACATTTCTGTCACTATAGTGTATTACCGTGGTGTACACCCTTATAGGTTGATCACTCAGTTGTATACTGTAACAGCACCTTATTATTACAGTCAATGCACACAATATATATGTATATTGCATATATTTTATACCAATATCTCAAAACGACTATTATGGTCACTTATCTTAATGAATGAGTGTCTTATTCTTATACAGAAATAAAATGCATCGAAAACTGTATTTCAAACTCATAAAAACCTCCATACACGCATGCATTTTATAACGTTTTGTCTGTTATACATATGAAACTTACTCATCCGATAACGGTGCTGCTCCTTCTTCCTGTCCGGGTGCGTTCACGTGGTACACGCAGAAATTTGACATGAGGGTGCGCATTTCACTGTAGTTGAAGAATGTCTGAAAGCTCGTGACGTCTGCAAAACGAACAGATGTTAGAAAACATCCGAACTGAAAAATTGGCTCTTTTGAGTCAGAAAATTTAAGCGTCACGTCAAAATTAACCCCTCCCTTGTCGTTTTCTCCAACTAAACGACGATAAAAGGCTTTAGCTCGTCTGACGAGAAACGTAAAGTTACGAGTGATAACTTTTATGACCACGACCATTCGAAAGGAGGTGGTTTAGAATTTCGTTGAATGGCGGACACAGACAGAGGGCTTAATAGTTAGTAGCAGCACTAGTAGGTACCTACTATAGAATTTCAACGACAATATAAAAGTTAGTTAATAAAAATAAAAATTAAGGCTTGGTATACGTCTTTTAAAAGACTTAATAAAACTACACATAATTATATGCAATTAAAAGGTAAATATAACTACTTACTGCATATTATATTATTTTTTATAAAGTCAATATAGGTACCTACGTACTCAATACTTAGTTTACAAGTTACACGTGTATTAATGATTGAAATCGTTTAAAATGTGCCCGTTAATTATAAATTGCATACGAGAAGTCGAGAAACAACTGACGTGGAAAGTTTGTAGTTTTCAATATTTCAGGGAAATCAAATAGAACCACATAGATAATTAGGTGATACCTAACCGGTAAACTTCTAACTCAAAGCCCCTGGGTCGCTTACAGTTCAGTCCTAAGTCGTGGTAAGTGAGTATGGGTGGCCTGGACCGATCGCCCTGCACGGCCACACACACCGGCCCGTTGTCGGTGTCCACGTACACCTCTTCCACGCCGGTATTGCCCCTGGTAAACGTCCGGACGGCAGGTAGCGAAGGACGGACGCCGGTAAGTTCCACTTCCTCCAAGGTCTCCGATCGCATGCCACTGCATCACACATGAAAAACGCACGATGGTCAAGGGTGTGATGATATATTTTAATATGCGCAGTATTTCAATGTTACACCCGATTCATAAAACAGTAAGTTATTTTAAAAATTGTTGAATTTTCACTTGTCATCATAATTTATATTTACACATATATATATATATATATCAGTTGACAAAAAAAATTAACTGTGCCTAATGGTAAAAGTGTACAAAATGCATGATTTTATGCCAACTATGGGTAGCTAATAAAAATTAGGTAGGTATATGATATAAAAAAAAATGTGTAATTATAAGGGCTTATAATATATTATTCGTTATTATCGCAGGATCGCCCAAAGTACACACGAACTGCTCGAAGTTACCTGCTCTTGAGTCATGAAATGGTAAAAAAAAAATGTCCATTTCGTGAACTGTGAAATTTCATCAACGGGATGTAACATATTATAGTCAATGCAGCCGCAGTGGCGCCAAGTTGGGCAAAGTGGGCGAAATGAGTGACCTCTTTGAGTTGTTAGGAACATACGATATGCGTAAAAACGAATGACATCAAACGTCAATACATCGTGTAAATGACGTGTACATTATAAAAGTTACTATTTCGGTTGTATGAGGACCTAACCTCAGCACAGAAATTATCAATCGAAAGGCTCGAACTTGGTAATTGGCATCACTGTGAGTTACATATCAAAAGGCTACCTTGACTTAGCAGTTAGAATATATTGAAATAAATCAAACAGTCGAATGCACTACACTCACCTGAGCAGCGACGCTTCTTCGGATATGGCAGACGTGGGCATTTTTCTGTAAAACGAAAACCATGAGAAACGAAAAATATACATACATTAACATATAATATATTATATAACATTATATACCCCGCACTGTCGTGACTAATTAATATGTCGTGTGTATGCCTATATACTCTGCATGTCATATTATAGGCAAATACCTCATATCATTTTGTGTAGGTATCATATAATAAGCTCGTTTAAACTTTTTTGGAAATCCATCATTAATGATGGGTGGGAATAAATAAATTCGATTTATTTCAAATATTAAAAACATGAAAAAACAAATTAGGTATTAAATAACTGTATAAAAATCAGCGATTTATAAACTTTTTTTGAAAAACATATCGATTTATTACATTTTAATATAATATCTAACCTTTTAATATTACCTATGAGAAGATTGCACAAATTAAACACACAGAATATCCCACCCCCGCCTATAATAGGATTATGAATACGCCACGAGTACACGGCAGTCATGGGAGCATTATTATATAATTACCATTATACACAATAAATGTATGCATAACATCGTTTTCGGGGGTCCGCCATGTATTTTTCCAAAAAAATCAGTGAGCACAGAGGGGAGAAAGTTATCGGGTAGTTTTTTCGTTTCTTCGTCACCCATTCCGCTAATTACAGTCGATCGCGTCAGTATACGTCCTTCGTATACAATATTTTATAACAATATTCGTAAAGTAGGCACCCATACTATTATACGTGTGAAGCCTTAGTGTTTTCCAGTGTTTGTGTGTGTGCTGTTGACACTGGCAACGAGGAATCAAGGTGGCTCGTCCTGTTTATATGTCGGTATAAATGGATAATGTGGGGGAAGCATAGACGAGTATAATGGGTAAGAGGTACAAGGTTATCTTAGCATTTCCCCTACAGTCCCTGAGAATGATCAAGTGCTAGTGAGTCTCACTGGGCTAACCCGGATCATTTTCAAAGTTTGTTTACAGAATACCTGAATACGATGACACACCTAAATAATGAAATATTTTATGATGTATAATATAATATTGGAAGTACTGCGCAGTATCGAAGTACGAGTTACGAGATGTGCGTATGTCGATACCATGATGGTTATAAATCAAGATATATATTATACTACGCATAGGTTCATGTATTTTGTATACCAATATATTTCACACGACGATAATATATTATTAGTTATTACAATGGTGATTCTTAATCGATCATATTATACTCGCCCAAATTTTATACTAAAATTATGAATCTATTCAAATATTGGTTTTGAAATTATTAAGTATGTGTTAGTTTATGTAGTATAATCAAGTAATTGTATTTTCGTGTGTTTCAAGACATTTGTCATGTGGTGATAACAATCTTCAACGATCAGTGAAATGTATTTGAGTCTTAATATTTAAATTCTGTTTTATCTATTCCAAACACAATATAATTATACCCAGTGGTCTAACGTAGTCCCCCACTATTTCAAAAACATTTTGTATTGTCTGAAATAACGAGTGACTATTACGCGTTAAACGAATCACCCATTATAAATTAGGACAATCCTTGAACGCCGTAAAAACCCTAAATAATTGAAAACACATATTTTATAGTATAGGTACCTATCTCTACGTATATTATAAGCGTAGTTTCCTTAAAACCATAATTATTCGGATAAACACAATATTATGACGCTATGATCGAAAGCATACGTCAAAACGAGGGAAGGGGGAATCTATAAAAAGTATCAGTGCTGCAGCACACTGTATATGTGGCTATCGACGTATACACGGCGTTATAGATTACACATATTACATCATGGGTACTGTGGTGTTGGATTGTCTTCGTCCTCGGCGCGTGCGCACGTTGATGATAATATATAAGCCATACCTACGTGTGTATATTATACGTATACATAGTGATATACGCGCGTGTAATATACCTGAGCGGCGTGTTGATGTTTCCGGTGCCGATTACGGGCACGCCGGACATAAGCGGCTCGGACAGCCTGCGCCGGGGGCTGGAGCTTAGCGTGCCGAAAGCCTTTTTAAAAACTGTACCGACCGAGTTCTTCCGCTCCGGCTGCAGGTCGTCCGTGGTCGCTTTGTACACGCGGTCGGCGGCCAGCGAGCGGTAGGACATGTTGCGGCATGCGGGGCCAAAAGCTGCAAACAAAATGTATGTACGTGCGAGTACGTGCAAAAGCCATCAACGTATAATAATAATAATAATAATAATAATAATAATAATATGTAAAATATCAAATATGTAGTAATAATAATAACACAATAACAATGGTATAATATTAACATGATGATGATAATAATCGCCTAGCTATGTATACCTAGTATTGTAATTTGTAGGTATGTGTTTGTAATACGCAATATAATATATATATAATATATATATATATCAAGGAGATGTTTATTGTTTAGTTTTCAGTGGCTTAACGCAGTACCTATTGCATATTATACATTTCTAGAGTAAAAATCGAACGATTAACGAAAAAATTGAGGTCTTGTAAATTTTGAGTGTTTTCCACCTTTTTAAGCATCGAATTTTTGATTTTATATTCTGCAAATCTGAGTATTGGACCGGAAATGTTGATATCAATAAATTTGTTCATTACAACTATACTACAACCACATACATATTTCGAGTTAATCTGGGCTAGTGAGAAGATGAGGTAAAGGAGCAGAAATCGATAATACCATGACAGTCTGCAACGTTTTCAGAAACACATAATCTGCTCATAAACATTCTGTTATCAAGTTATCTGCATGGTTAAAATACTAGAATCGAAAAAATTGTATTTTTGTACAAAAATGTGATTTTTATAAGTTCTTCGAATGACGTATTCATTTTTTCAAATACACGACTAATTGACTAGAGTTACGACAAAGCATCTCATATACAAATATATATATATATATATATTATATATATAATATTTTACCACACACATATATTATACATATTATTATATAATAATATATTATGTTCATATACATACATATTAAATACATATTATATTAATACAGCGGTATGATAAACATAAGTAATGAAAAAAAAAAATTGTGAATAAACCACGAAGTACAATACGGTGTAAAACAATAATAATAATAGTAATAATAACGCGTTTCACGCCACGACGGCTGCTAAGTACCTACTAATAGACGCGTTAGCCGCCGGAGGGATATAATAATAACAACAATAATATCACCCGCTTTCCGGAACACCACACGCGGACGGGTGTGCAGCGTCGCACACGATATATAATGCTCAATGCTGATTATATTCAATCCTATTAATGATGTTATTATGTTTTTCGTATGCACATGGCGAAGGCCCTGCGCGCATCGCGTCAAATTGAGTTTATTATTTTTAACTCTGCGCCCGTATACGACTTGAAAAAATGTGTGTGGGTGTGTGTGTGTGTGTGTGTGTGTGTGTGTGTGTGTGTATTTATTTTTTCCTGTAAATCGTAAGCGCTTCGGCGAGACATGACAATGTTATAACAACTACAACTGTACACGACGACGATAATATCTTTCTACTCGTTTGTATACGTCACACAGGACGACACCTCCTAAACCGGATGCGATGAATCTAATATAGTATTATATAGGTAAGCGCACGTTTATCGGAAGGCACGTGTGCAGTGGGCTGGAGAGCGATACAGGACGGGATGGGACGGGACCGGAAACGCTTCCGTCCCACACCCACTGCACAGTGCACAATAATGCACGTACCTAGTTTACGCGTATTTTTCTCGAGACGCGTAAACGCCTACCCCTCCCCCTCCCCCACCACAACTGGTGTTGATCACCGCGAGGCGACGACAGTTTCGTGATTACGGTATAAATAATGTCGTATTATCACGATATCACGCGTATAATAATATCACGTAGTTTATAACGTTTGAGGTTGACGATTTTTTTTTTTTTTTTGACATTTGGTTTATCTATGACAATTTTTATATACACGTTGTAACACTTGCATTTATTTTAGCACAACCCTTTTTTTCCTACAGTAAAACCTATTTTTCATCATGTGGATTTTTTTTTGTAAGTATTTTATATTTTTTTAATATTATCCATTCATAAAAGAGTTTATAATGTCATGGCGTGCTGAAGCAGAATATTTTTCTAAAATAAATTTGATGCACATCATTTATGATAATATTATGCAATGATAAAAGGTTTACTTTTGAGATCAAATAGGACTTATGAGCGGTGCCGCGGAGGTCACACATTTTTGATAACTACTTATTGGCTCATATTAGTACAATTTAAAATAACTAACGCAAGTATATTTTTTGAAAATAATAATTTGCTTCTTAGCTTAAAATCATTAATCAGTAATAATTTTATTCTCCATTTAAAATGTTAAAATCTAATAAATTTACAACCTTAAAATTTAATTTTTTTCTTGCAAAATTGTACATTTTGATTATTGTTTAGCTTAATGTTCAAAAATGTTGAAATAATGAAGGTAGGTATTTAAAAAAAAAAAACACTACCTGTATTTTGACAAAAAAGACGATAATGTCACATATTATTTTGAACTATGAAAATATCGTTATCGAACCGATACTAATGATTGTGTTATTAACCCGAGCATGAAGACCTCAAATAATATACCTCAAAATTATATAAAAGCTTATTATATCATACAGTTTGGATTTTAAAGATAAAGTGTCATCCATAACGCGATCTGTTTGAAACGATGTAATTATAATCCCAAATCCCCCGACGAAAACCCTGCGGACGAGAAATCTGCTCACTGTCTTTAAATTCGCCTGCTGGAATCGTACGTCAGAATACGTCATATCACATAATATGCGTATGAATAAATATTGTCTACTGACTACTGCACAAACCGGCACCGTTAACATTAGTATGTGTTATTATAACAATTGTATTTATAACGTTTCATCGTGATGATGAGCACATATTTTAGACGTTGAATTCGTATACCTACCTATTATTAATTATAACGCGCTGTGGCATTTACAATATATGGGCACTGTTCGACTCAGTTGAGGTTTTCGCCGTCAGGAACAATAATAATAACGAAAATACCGAAATAAAATATACTCGTTGTAAGTTCAAAAATGTATTCTCGTTATATTTTGAAAAATATATTCTTGTTATTTTATTCATGCATCGAAAAATGGCCAAAGGTAGAGTTAAAATATTAAATAAATAATTTAAAAACCTGTCGAAAAAATAGTTAGTCACTCGGTCAAGGACGCACGTCCCATCAAACACGCAAAAATAAAAAATTCACAAAGGGTATACCCATTATCTATATTTAAACATTTGTTTGAATTATCTATATGGACGTCACATAAACATCGACTTGTATTCTATGTACGAAAGTAAAAAAAAAATTGTCTTGATCACATAAATATATAATTTTTTTATAAATTCGTACACAGTGTTATTATGTTCGTTGTTTTACACCATTATATTACAATCATAACAGCCTTAAAAATATATTTACTGTATCGTGTGTTTACTTGGAAAATATCCAATTGCTTTTTTGTTTTTCACACGCATATTGTTCGAAATGTTTTACTTGACTATTATTACTACATCAATAACATCGCTCTCAGTTTTAGAGAATTGTTATCAACAACAAACTTAATTTCAGTGAAACATTTGTATCTAAAATTTAAAACACGCATAGTAATCATTCGGTAAACTACAACGATTAACAATTTAGGTCATTTTTATAATTGTTTTTTTCGTATACGAATTGTTTGAATGAGAAGAGTTTTTAATTAATTTATTGAATTTTCGAATAGCTATCGTATGACAAACATTACTATACGCGTATATAAATATTTGGCAAAATATCATATTTCAATGGATGATTTGTTTACGTTTGTATATTCGATTACTCCAAAAAAGCCCCGAGAAATAAATATTTAGATTACTATAGTTTAAAGTGTGTAATCATAATGTATAATAGAATTATGTTTTCGCTAACTAAAATAATATATTATCTATGGATCAAAATTATAAAAACTTTGATAAAATCATACATAATTATCTAAAAATATAATTATTATATTGTAAATGAAATAATAATTACCTAGTTACTCTTTTTTTTTATATATATGCTTTTCACTACGAAGATAAATAGCTATAACTTGTACATTATATACTATATAATATTTATAATATGATGTTAGGTATAAGTGAATTATGAATACATTTATTTTACATTTAGGTCTACTTAATTTCTTTTAAATTCTTATAATTTGACAGCAAACGATGATTCTTAAATTATAAACTAAATACAATACAAGACTGTCTACGTCTCAAATTTAAATACGAAAAGTTGACTTATAAAATAAATTATTATTTAAGGATTAAATTTTTTTTTAATAATTTTGCTGTGAACCGTTACATTTATATGAGTTTACCCCCCCCCCCCCTATATCATCACACAATAGTTTCAACTCGTCCAATTTTTTGATCAGAAGTCTCCGACGAGAAGTGAAGCTTGATCTAATAACTTTTTAGGTTTACAATAACCATAATAAACGTCTGATGTACATATATATATATAAATATATGATCAAAATATATTTAAATATTTTATCGATATAAAAAAGTTTTATTCAAGATATGGATTTATACTTTATAATGTTGTCGTTTGAAAATATAGGTACTATGAGTTAAATTGTATAATGACATAAATTCAATCGTTGTTCTCTTTCTCTGATATTTAAACAATAACAGGACCACTATTATGTACGTACGCAGGACCATCAACATAAATAGCGAGCTTTATACGATGTAATTAATTTTGTTTTGTTACAGAAATTCAACAGCATATACACTGTCATGTAATAATTTGATTACAAACCTAAACACAAATTGCATATGTCGTTAAACGGAACAAGCCTTTTGTCAGCGATTATTAAAATTAAATTACGTTATTCGAATTGGCACATTTAAAAACAACCGTCCCGTTTCGAAAAAAAAAACGAGTGATTATGTTTCAATATCATAAGACATATTAGCATTAGTCTTCTTAAGTCTGAACCGTTTCTGCGAGATGCAATATGAACCGCAGCTAGTGAAAAATTCAATATTATTTACCCAGTAAACCCTAGTACACAACATTTGTATTTAATGTGAAATGTTTG